GCGGTTGGGGGGGGGTATGTGCCCCCAGATCTACATGTGGGGCTGGCTGGGGCCGAGGCAGCACCAGGCTCTTCCTGACAGGGGGGTCAGGCCAGGCTGTGCTCAGAGCAGGCAGCAGCAGCACTGGGAACCGAGCTACAGGAAGGGCTGCAGCAACTCCAGAATTCACCATGGCCCCCCACCCCAACCCTTTCCAGTGTCACCACCACCCGGTCCGAGCGCAGCATGGCTCAACCCCCCACCACTGGGAAGAGCCCGGCACACTCCCATAGTGGCAGCCTGCACACAGCTGGGGGTATACCGCCCTGGGGGGAGCGCATAGCAGCAGTGCTGGGAGTGGGGGAGGAACTCACATGCAGCAGCTGCCGCTGCTGCCGCCACCACCACCACCATGCACCGCCTCATGCCACCACCGCCTCCACACCATTTTCCTCTGAGGGCTGCTGATGGGCCTCCCACCCAGCCTGTCAGTAGCCAATTGAGCTGCACACATGCGACCAGCCATGAGAAAGCAGCACAGGCACGGCAGCAGCACAGGGTGCTGGGTGGCAACGGCAGTGGCGACTGCCGTGTGTGAGCCGTCCAGTCTGGCTGGCCAGGCAGTACCTGTACAGCCTGCAGAGGGATACCACTGCCCTGGCCCTCTCCCCTGGCTCTGCTCCTGGAAGTAGGCACAGAAGCACACTGCCCCCCACTCCCCATCCAGACCCTCACTGCTCTCCAGGAAGGGGGTGGAGGACAGCGAGCTGGGGGTGGTGGGGGAAGGTGCTGCAGTGTGCCGTTTGGGGCCAGCAGCATCTGGTGCACTCCTCCCCCTCCCCACCCCCTGGGTAAGAGGCGAACTGTGGGAACACACTGGGGGAGACACCATTACTGCACCCTGAGGCGCACTCCATCCCCGCCCGCCCACCCGCACATACCCTCTATGGCCTAAGTACCCTTGGGGGTATGCCTACCCCCGGTCAACAACCCCTGCTATAAAGCTTCTACAGCACTTGCTGGGAAGTCCTGCCATGCTCAGTCCTCTGCATCCATCCCTGCACTCATTGTGTACACATGGACACAGGTGCTGCCATCGGGACATGCTGTATCAGCAGTGAGGATCCTGTGGTTCCCCAGGCCCCGAGAGATCATGGAGGTCAGTCGGTCCAGCCATTGCCTAGATCTAAGAGGTGCTGTTCCTACAGCAGCTGAACATGGAGCCTGCCTTGGACATCAGGACGAATGTGTATACACAAGGAAATTATTGACTGCCCTTGCTGCTGCTCCCACAGTCATGTGGGGAGTGAGGGTATACAACCAGGTCACTGCAATCACATACCTATGTTTTCTAGGTATGGCATTCATGAAGTAAACAGACAGGGCCACCGAGGAGACCTAACACTATGCATATGCAGAGCATAATCAGCAGCAAGCTGTGACATGCCTGACCCCTCTTCCAATAAGATTGTGAAACCTCACACCTGGCTGCAGAATTACTGTAGGCCTTCTACATGGGTTCTTGTTTGCCTTTACCCTTCAGCTGGGGCAGAGCACCTTTCAAATGTGGATGGCAGCAAGGTCTGCCTCAGCAGGCAGGCAGCCTGAGCAACAGCTCTTCTAGGGCCAACCCCTCTGCCCGCTGGACAAATACCCTGCCTTGGGCCACTGCCACCTGCCTCAGCCACCCCTGGTGTTTGGGGTGGCCCATATGGCTCACCAAGGCCCCAAGTGGTGCTAGGCAAACAGCCTTCCATTTGCATAGCCACTCTCAGCCTCTGCCTCCTGCTTTGCTGCCTCCCCTGCTGCTGTAGGGGGGTAGCAGTTAGTAAAAAGAGACCAGTATCTGTTTGCCTGTTCCTGCCTGCACTTTTCCCTCTGGCTCCTATACTCCCTTCCAGGCCCAGGAGAGCAGGCCAGGAGCTCTCAGCACCACTGACATAAACATGGATGTGTGAACACAAAGGTGTGCACCCAGTCGTGCAGCCAGTGCAGTCATGCCAGCAGACACATCCTCATGGGAGCAGCAGCAGTGAGGGAGTTTCCCCAGGACATCTGCATCTGACTAAATGTCTTTGTGAATCAAGTCTTCTTCACTGCTGGAGCTGCCCTGCCTCCAGCACCCTCCCTGATCCTTACCAGAAAGCTGAAGCACTTGAACTGTCTCTTATCCCAGGTGAACCCATCCAGCAGCTGGTAGGTCTTGACCTTCGTCTCCAGGGTGATGTTGAGCTTCAGGAGCTCCTTCACAGCCCCCAGGTCCATGCACAGTCTCTCCGTAGAAGGGTAGGTCAGCTGTACCGGCAGCACCACCACATAGCCTCTGTGGGGAGAGGGACAGAACTTGAATGGAGGTTGGGTTGGTTTAAAAGGGTGCGTTATTGCAGTCAGGGGACCGGTTCTCAGATGGGCTGATAATGTGCATCATGAGGACCAGCCCAGCTTGACTGGCAGCATGAGAGCATGCAGGACTGCTGCACACAGAAGCTTTACATCCTTTCAGGTAAGACTGGCTGAGTCTCACTTGCAAGGGTGGGAAGCCTCTGTGTAAAGCAATTGTTAATGCCTCTGGCTACCATATGCCCTTCACCCGCTATACATGGCCCTGCTCCTCCCTCTCTCCCTCCCTCACACCTGTTTTCTCCCTCCTCCTCTCCAAGATCAGAGAGTTGGAGCCAACCCCTTCCCCTCTGTGACTTACGGGACAGCATTGGATGTAGCGGCCAAACGGAGCAGGAGGGCCAAAGCACCAAGAAGAAGCCACATCACTGCAGGGCCTTGCTACAAAGCACCACTGCAAGCGGAGCTACCCAGACGTCTCTGCTCTGGGACTCAGGGTGGGGAAGAAGCACAGACACAGTGCTGCTTGTCTTTGGTGCTGCAGTACCAGTTTTATATCCTTGCCAAGTTGCTGGTGGTATGCAGTCCACCAATCAGGGCCTGCACCAGGGTGGGGAGCAGAGGGAGGAGACATGCACAACCTGTGAAGGAAGCTGGCTCTGGTATGCTGAAAAAGTCACTTGAATTCAAGTGCTCTTCCCTCCTCCTCCCCCCCACCCCCCAATCTGACCAAGATCAAAGCAATTATGTGCAATATTCAAGTGCTGAATGCCTGAGTACATCCAGTGCGTGCATGTGTGTCACAGAGTAAGCACACTTCTGTGTACACACACACACACACACACACACACACACACACACACACAGAGTAATTCTACATACACAAAGGGACAAGGCAGTTTCTCCCCCTGATCCAGAGGCAGAAAGGAACGCAAGCCTCCTGCCAATGGGCAAATACTTCCTGCACCGGGGCACTGAAAGCCCCTGCCACAGGGAAGCACAAACCCTCCAGGACTGCCTGGCTCTCGAGTTATAGCTCCTCAGCCAGTGATGCAAAGAATGCTGGAGGCCAGTGCTGTAGCAACCAAGTTTGGCGCCCGGGGAAAAGCCCACAATGGCAGCCCACTCTCGCCCTTGCCCAGTAGTGCACACAGTGGCGGGAGCTGCCCTTCCCCCATTTCTGGCCCCCCCCCCAAATGAACTGCTCATGGCTCCATCCCATGCCCCACCTCGGCTGGGTAGCACCTGTTGGTACTCCTTTGCTTCGGCACCAGGGGCAGTCGCCCTGCTCGCACCCCCTTGCTATGGCATTGCTGGAGGTACTGAACCAAAACTCTTGCTTAGACACCCAGGTACCAGTCACCACAAAATATAACAGAAAATAAGACTCCTGCTGAGAGCTCACACACTAGGTCTGCCCCCAGACAGAAAATTCTGCTGGCATAACTTAGCCCTGACTGCGGCTCCACTGGGGGAGCAATGGGTGCCAAAACTGCAGCATAGTCAAGAGGCAGGCATTTTTTTACCGCCTTGTCATCTAACTCTGCCCTGAGCAGACATATACACCTGTGCCAACCTAGATGTCACAAGGCCTGGGTTCTGCCTGTAGAACAGCTTTCATTCTACAGCTGTTGTTCCTGATGGAGTTGGTCCAGTACATTTGCTCGTATAGCTAGGAGGTTTGCTAGCTTAGACAAGACCCAGCTAGCCGCCTATAGCTTCTGCATGTGTCCCCTCCACCCAAGAGCTAAGGCATACTGGTTAGGATAATGATTCTCAGTCAAGGTGCCAACACACCCTGGAGTATCTGGAGATCCTTTCAAGTGTGCAGACGTGATTAACAAGATAAACTCAGAGACTTCAAACAGGAATCTTTAGTGTTAAAGACATTCTGACCTGTTGTGGTCTTCTGAGTTCTTTGCAACAGAAGAATTACTCTTTTCTTGTTCTGTCATCAGAAGACAAGTGGAAACTAGGAGCTGGCATTTTCTAAAGGGTGCCTTGGATCTACTGAGGGGTGTCTTGAGTCTGTTGAGAGGTGTATTGAGCCCAAAAAGGTTGAGAAGCACTGGCTTAGGAAGTAGCACAGCTGGCAGAAACCTGACAAAGAGACTAGTTTTCCCAAGGGAAAACCAAATGGCATACAGCAACTTGGGAGTTTCCAGACAAACCAGTTTTGAGATAAGATGGGACAAAAAAGTTCCATGGAAAATGCCTAAGCGGTTAGATCAATTTATTATTTAGGAGCTTTGTGTGTCACCACTTCCTTATCTGATTTTCCCTCTAACTTCCAAAGGAAAATCAACCCTAGGCTACGGGTTTGGTTTGGTGCACTGGAAGAAACATGGAAAACTTGCCTCTGCCTGTTGGCGATGATTCCACATGTGCCAAGGGACTGAATGTAGCTTCTCAGAGGCAATCCAGCACGCCCCTGTGGAAAAGGAAAGGGTAGTATAAGAAAGTGGGACAGGACAGCATACACAGCACCAGATCCTTCAACCCACAATGCTTGCCTCTTTCCAATAAGACAAAGTACTGGCTGGAATGACTCAGTCCGAGGAAGAAAAACTGCAAAAGCATTTGCATAGAGTTGAGACAAGAGCAGGTGGGAAATGTTTTCCATTGCTCTGAGTAGCGACCTATTTCTACAGCTGATCTAGTGACTAAGGTCTGTCAGGTTTTATTGCTTGCTTAGCTTAAGGAGGAAAAAACCAAACATGGCTTTAAGTGCTGTGTGCAGGGAAAGCTGATATTTCTACCGTACCAGCAGGAAAGATGTCTGCGAGAGTCTGGGAGTCAAAAGTTTCAGACTGACATGCTCTGCAGGCCCCGTGGTTGATACACTGCAGATCCTCTTATGGCTGGTCACAGGTTCTCTGGAGGTTTTTTTGCATATTTTTGCAGCATAATGTCTACAAACAGCTGCCGAGTCCCAAACACTCATAAACCCTTGGAAACCTGGGCGGTCTTTGGCTCAGTCACCAGGAAGCTTCTTTTTCCACATGTTTGCTCACATCTGATCAACAACATGAGGGACGCAAATGGTTTTCCAAAATAAAAGCCCTACCTTACGTATTGTTCAGCTCCTACCTCCTCAGCAAACCTCACCTGCAGGGGAGCAGGGGCTGGGAAGCTTCTCCTGGTGTCTCTCAGTGAGCCCTGAGAGCCCAGCAGTACAGCAATACACTGTAGGAGACCCCGCCAGGGGACTGGGCGCATTAATTCAGGCAAATATTATGGTGCACTGAGTCAGGGAGAGATCTGTAGTGGCTGGCTGCATGCAAAAGAATCACTTCAAATGCATTGCAGCCAAGCCCAGAGCAAGGTACGGTAGGGTCTGGGGTCTCTGTGTTAAATGGAGATGTGGCCAGTTAGCAGCATTCGCACTGCGATTCCTGTCCAAGACGGCAGCTTCATAGAGGAGGGTAAGCTACCTGCTTAGTGCCTGCACCTGCTGATGCAATCTACTACATTAGAGCTGAGCTCCAGCACTCTGGAATACACCTGGAGAATGGGCAGAGCCAGTTTATGCTGGGAAGGGCCCAGCTGTCTCTGGTGCTATGGTGCAGCTGAAAATCTTAACTCTTTCCATGGCTTTTTAGGATGCCCTGGGATATTTAACTCCAGTGCAGCGATGGAGTTCAGTTTCAGATTTTATCAGACATTTGGCTTTTGAGTTGAGTATCCCATCCCTCCACACCACTGCCCCAAAAGAGGGGGCTGCATTCCCTATGCCCTCCACCTCCTGAATCATCCCTGCCTCTGACCCTCAAGTCATGGCAGTAATTGGTGCCCTAATGATGAAGAATCATTTCTCTTTAGACACTCTCTGTTTCATTTCTCGTCTCCACAAGAAGTATCTTCTGAAATTCCTGACGCTGTCTGTAAAATACCTGGAAGGTCTGGCTGAAGCAATTTCTTTTTTTTCCCAAGTTGTATACATTGACTTGGCACTCAGATTCCTAGAAAAATTGCGGCCATTTATGAAGTCACATCCTTTCCCTCCCATGGGGCCTATGAACAATTGTTCCCTGTTCTCCATGGCTATATTCAGTCCTAGTTTATATAACCTAAGTAATAATATATCCAACACTTCCTTTAGAAGGGCCACTCCACAATGCAATCAGTATAAACAATATGATCTGTTTTGGCAGATTTGCTTGGGGATTCCAGGTCTGGAGCCTGCAGGGGAGGACTAGGGGCTGTTGGCAGAGTTATGTGGGGAGCTCGAGACTGGGATGGCAGAAGCCAGGAACAGCACACTGTCTTCCTGATATGGCCCACACCCTTGCAGCAGTTATGAAGTGATGGATGAGGTGCACCCCAAGGGCCAAAACTGGAAGAGGCCAAACTGTATTGCTCTGAAGCCAGGGCTTCTCAAAATCACATGGAGAACATGAATGAGGAGCACAAGGACTAGCAGACCTGTTACAGTATTTTTGCCATCTGAGAAATAGTTTGAGTCCCTGAACCATTTTGTGTGGGTGCATTTAATCCACTGTGCTCTCCCAAGGGAGAAGTATTTATTTCTAAAACAGTTCCTGCCCAAAGCACAACTCACTAGCTGGCCAGGCAGAGCAAAGGTGCTGTGAGTAGCCAAGTCCCAGGTCCCTTGTGCAGGCCCAGTCTGACCTTCACACAGGAGCTCCCAAACCAGAGTAAAATGCCCCATGCTAACCTAGGAGAGATCCCCAGACTCAGAGCCGGCACATAGCATTTCCCAGTCTGAAAGGGCCCACAGACTACCGACCATACACTGGAACATATGCACAGATCCATGACAGGGCAGCAAAGAGGTTGCAGCCGCCTTTGCTTGATGATGTTCTGGAGGTGAACAGGTAAGTGTTGTCATGGCCAGCTCTAAGGCACCTGTATAGCACCTTACTTCCTCACTGTGAAGGGTCCCCCTTCACCCTGCATGGAGGGAAGGAGACTTAGGGGCTTGCAAGTCCTTTTAAATGCAAGAGGCTGGTGACTTCCAGCTCTACATATCTCTAGTGGTGCATAAGAGGTGGGCTAATCAAGCCCAGTCAGTCACTGTCTTTCTGCTACAGAGTCTGGGGCCCACAGAGAAAGTGCACAGCAGATAGTCCCTGGATAGGGAAGGGGGCTGGAAAGAAGTGATGAGGCACAGTGCCAGGTGGATAGCAGATGGGAGGTGCTGCAAAGCATGGGTAGCTCTACAGGGAGTCAGGAAGCCGTGTGTATTTGAACTTTTGAAAACCAGAACCAGAACTATTTGGTTACCTGAGGCCTGTCCCATCCAGGCTTTCTCAGGGCCCTGTGGGTCATTGGAAATGGAGAGCAGGCAAACATAGGCTGTGGAGACCACTGAATCAGAAAAGTGTCTGCTGTCATCCTTGGGCTTTTGCTTTCTGCAGAAGGAAAGGAGACTGTGTTGTCTTTGGTAACAAGCAGATATGCCCCATGCATTCTCCATTTGCAAAACACTTTGCTTAGACCAGCTTGTTCCAGTGGTCACTTGTAAGATATGGAGGCCTCCCTGCCCAGAGGGTCTCCACTAATTCTTTGGTTTCTCTGAGGAATTGGGGAGCCAGCAAGTGTATCTGATTTATGATGATGCAGCCCTGAATAGGGTAGCTTCCCGGCACACCTCATCCCCCATCTCCTTGCTGGTAACGCATGTGATACTTGGCTGTCAGACTGTTCTCCCGTTATAGGCAGTAGGGAAGATGTACATATACAAGGGTCAGAAAACTGACTAGTAGAAGCTGGGACAGTCTTGAAGAGGAGGAAAATGGGACAGAAACAAGGAGTCAGTGGACTCGGAGCAGGACAAGTTAGAAGGGATGGAGCAGAAAGAGTCCAGATTGAGGAAAATGGGTAGAAGATAACGTTAACTAGAACCTGCTATCTTCAAACCTGTAATGGAGCTCCAGATCCCCACACCTCACTGTTCCTCTGCTGTCAGCAAATAACTGTGACAGCCCTGGCAAAGCATGTGCTTCCTTCCCCTCTATGGCTGATCCTTAAATGGATAACAGCCTCCTACTGCTGCTGTGAGTTATCTGGTTAGCTCACATGGCAGCAGGCTGTGTGTGATGGCTTCCAATCTTCCTGATGACTCACGTCCATATCCATATGATACCGCATAAGAGAATTTCTGTTTTTCAGTTTTGCTTTTTTTCAAATCTAGGAAGTTGCAGTCAAAATCTTGGAAAGAAGAAGTCTGCTGCATCACACCCTTGAGAGTTAAGGAACACACAGGCAATCCTAACTCTGGAAAACTGGATTTTGTTCCCCTTGGATCCATGCATGATAAGACTGTCTTTAATTCACCTGTCCCATGCTATTTTTTCTACCCTGCTCTGGGGACGCACTAAGGCTGCTATTGAATGATGCTGCTAGCAAAACACTGGCCTTGTTTGTTGCAGAAACTGGAAGGAGGGCAAGAGCACAACTGTAAGACGAGAGAGGACACTTTCATGGTTAGACCAGCTTCATAGTGACCTAGAACAGTGGTTCTCAACCTTTTATGTACCAGAACCCATTTGTAAACATTGATGGCCAGTCCCAACCCAGTGCCCCTCACTCCTGACCCAGTGCCCCTGCCCCCAGCTCCACAATATGTGGGGCAGAGGGTGGGTGTGGGACAGGGTGGGGTATGTGTGGGGCTCCAAGCAGCCCCTCAGGTTGGAACTCTGCCAACCTGCAATGGAAAAGCCCCGATTTCCCACATTTTTCTCCTTAAAAGGAGGGTCAATTTTTTAAAGTTTGTTGATACATTTTTAAAGTTTGTTTGCAACCTACATATTCAAATATTCTTGCAACCCACTTTTGAGAAACACTGACCTAGAGAACTCACATCTGTCCCTGCCTTACCTCAGATGTCCTGTGTGGTGCGATGATGCTGAACAAATCTCTCAAACCAAGCTCATTACAGGTGTCCACTGTTTCTCTGGATGCCCAAATTAAGATCTTGCTGTCTGGTCTGCAGACATGCTGTGTGCCTGTAGCTGCAACTGAACTGCTGCTTTTTGAACATATGGAGAGGGCTGTACAGTGTGAAATATGCCAAAGAATCATGTTGTAGGGCAGTGGGGGACAACCTTTTTGGCAAGAGTGCCACAAATCAGCCCCTCATCTTCCTCAAGCGCCCCTCCAATCCCCTTTCCCTGTCCAATCTGCTGCTTTGCTTTCTGCCCCCTGCCCTATCTGCTGCATACCCATACCACTTGCAGCACTAGGACTGCAAGCTGGCTACCTCTGTTCTAGGCACCCCAAATTGGGTTCACAAAATGAGTGTATTCTTTTGACTGAACTTGGTGCCCCAATTCCCTGTCTGTGAAATGGGAACAAATTGAATTTTTTTAGAAGATGTTAAGAGTTATGAACCAAAAAGATGACAAAAGCCAGTAGGGAAATACCAAGCGCCTGAGCAGGGGACTAATATAAGAGGGATGGGGGTGAGGAAGGGAACGCAACTAGGTTATAGAAAATACAATGTTAGCCTACTCTCTCATCTTGCCAGGATGCTGTGACAATGAATGGATGTTTGATGCTCGCAAAGTGCTCAAACACAGTAGGAGCACCACAGAAAAGCTCCAGAGAAATGTAAGTTCTCCCTTCAGTGCAGGGTTTAAGTAACGTGAACAATGAGGGGAAACCAAGATAGCGACTCACTGCTCATTAAGAGCCTTCCACCCTGTGTGCTGAATGAAGCCCTGGTGTGGTGGGAAGAGTAACAAGGCAGACTGCCTCATAATGTACACATACAAAGGCCCCAAATTAAGGTTTTACAAGCAACTTAATCTTGGCAGTTCTGATTTTCTGAGTGCTTTGTAACCTCAACATTTTCGAGCAATGGCCTTGTTGATTATAATATGGATTGCTCCATCTCAGGCAGCATGGTCAGGCCTCCACTGAACTGCAGATAAATTAGCCCACAATCCATTTATCTGGGAACCCATTTCCCCAGCTCCTGTCATAACATGGTGGCCAATGTCATTTAGGCACAGCATCTGCCTTGTTCCACCCCAGAACAGGCTGCTGAGTGAGCAATGCCTAGATAGTAGAGCTGGGTATTTGCAGCATTCACTCAGTTTTTGACCAGGAATCTGCTTTGGTCACATGTATGGCTCTTAGGTTTGCCTTGTACAGCACTCAGGCCAAATGAGTTAATTTGCCTGTGTCTTTTCCACATTGAGAGAGGATTCTCTCAGCAAGAAACAGCCATTCCTTTGTCTGCTGCTACTTACTGCTCAGCTCCTCTAGCACTGGCCTCTGGGCTGTCCTTCACCTTAACTCTGCCCTCTTGTGCAGCTGCATTCTGATGTGATCTTTTGTTACAGCATAACATGCACCCCTCTCAATTAATATGGGTATCTCTGACCATTAGAGAGAGAGACCATTAGAGAGAGAGACATTTTCAGCTTTCTAATTTTTACTCACTTCAGCTGTAGAACCGTTGAGTGGGAAGAGGGCTCCCAGAAACGTATACCCTAAGGGATCAAAAATGTCTTTGCTCCAGCTTTCTGGAAAGAAAATATCTGGAACAAATCAGCCCAAAAGCAAACATTTTGCAGTGCAGTTATCCTGGCAATCTCCCTGTGAGGCTATGAAGGCTGGAGGAAGAACTGATGCTCAGGGGTACTGCAAGTAATTTGCTCAAGAATACAGAAGAAGATGCTGGCAGAACAAGGCAGTGAGCCAAGGTCTCCAGGGTTTCAGGTTAAAATCCTGCACACTGGGCCACTTCTTCCTTCACTCACACATAAGGGTTCCTCCCTAAAATTAGCCACATCAGGATAGGCCTATATTGAGTCCTGGAAGACTAACTGGATCAAGATCCAACCACTGTGCAGTACTAGGAAAAGCATTCATTGCAGCAGGAAGGGGAGACTCATCGCTTTCCAAAGAAACGTGACTTTCATTCACTTCACCAGGTCAACATTTGGAATTTTGGTCTGCCTAATAATGTGAATTAAGAACATGATTCTTTACAACATTTTTATATGGGCCAGAGCTCTAGCACAGTCATGGTTACACTGGCAAGGAAGTGGTTTTGCCATTTAAAACATTTTGTGCAGGGAACTGGTAAAAACTCACGTCAGGGTAAGTCACATCTCCTCTTGAAGGGCTTGCTGGGATGGCTCTTATTGGTGGTGGTGTTATTTTATTATTATTCAGATTTATATCCTTCTCTCTCCAGAAAGGCTCAGGGTGGCTTACAATAATTGCAAACAACACACAGGTAAGAAACAACAGCAGGCTTCCCAAATAACACCCCAGAACTTGAAAACTCCACCCCCACAACTCCTGCTTCCCTGTCTATCACTCATAAGAGTAATCAGTCAATCCCGACTGTGCTTCCAAACCTTCTCAACCTCTGTTCACATGTAAGAAGAAACATCTTCTCATTCCCCACTCCCTATAACTACCCATTCCCCACTCCCCTGCTTCCCACCCAGAGGAGATCCCTCCTCCCTCCCCCAATGTCCCTTCCAGCCTGCAACCCCCTTCCTACAGGGGCTCAGTGGCTGCCCCCCTCTCCCAAATGTACAACTCATCCCCTTCCCCTCAACAAGTATGATAAATTCACGAGAACCATTGCAGGGAAGTAACAGAAAGACCCACAGTTCAGACATCTAATTCCCTCAGGCTCCTGTGAAAGTCCTCTCCATCCATCCTTTTGTCTCAGATGCTCTGGTGCCAAAATCTTTCCAGCATAGGCCTAGCCTGCATACTAGCTCCTAGTGCTGGAGCTGGGAGATATCAGATGTTAAAACTATGATACTATAAGGCCTGGAAAACCTACATCAGAGATTTGTTGAATTTGTATTGGCTATTTCCCTCTCCTCCTGATTATTCTGTAATTGGATTTGTGGTAACTAAGGAAACAGGCTTTCAAGCAGATGGGTGATAAGCCCAATAAATGCTAAGTATTGTTATTACTCTAGGCAGAAAGATAAAAATAAACACACAAGACCAGGGGAAAAATGTAAAAGTCCACGCAAATATCTTTAAAGGGGATTCTAGGTAGCACGTCCCAAATACAGATTTCTAAATGCAACATGTCAGATTTAGCCAGAGCCAACGTTACTTACTCCTATAGGCAGGCACTAATGAAAGTTAATAAATGCAATGTTAGCTTCTGATGCTGCAAACACATGTGTGCTTCCCACTACTCATGTGTGCTAGCCCCATCACAGGCAATGGGACTGCTGACGTGCGTAATGTTTGCCCACTTGTGGCCCTTGTTTCCAATATTTTGTTACTTGAATTTTACAAAAATAACATAGGCATAAATGTCTATTAGTACCACTTACATACACTAGCCATGGCGCTCAAAAATTAATTCACATGATGGTTCTTTTTGTCTACTCCCAATGGCATGCTTTTTCAAATTACTAGTACAAGGCACAACCTGATTTAAATCAATGACTTAAAAAAACACTCTAAAATATTCCAAATGATTCAAATGATTTCACCTTGCATACTTGGAATATAAATGTTAGTTGCTGTTGCTGGGTGCGTCCCCATGAATGGGAATGTGCATTCCCCAGGGACAAATAGCAGCAGCACATATTTGTGCCACTGCTGGTTGTCCCTGGGGAATGCCCCTGAATGTGCACTCTGGCACATGGCAAGATGCCCTGGGTGGGGTAAGGGAGGCTGGGGCCAGCATCTGGGCTGGTCCCAGCAGCTTTACCTAGGGTCTTGGGGGCCTCTCAGGATGCAAGCTGTGGCGATCCAGGAGCACGGAGCCTGACCGGCAGCCAGAGTGTGGCTCTGGCCAGCCAGGCTCCAGTTTCAGGCAGTGCACGCTGCTGCCACATGCGCCACCCCGCTTTTTTCTGGCACAGGTTGTTTTTGATACCAGGATCTCCTGGTATCAAAAAACCCACTGTGCTACAGTGTGACAAATGCCTGCATGTGAAACGTGTGCAGTTTGCGGCACCTCAGATGGGCCTGTGATGCCACAAACTACACGTGTGCACTTATCTGGATGCACCTGCTGTGTCTATTTGGAAGGAGAGCAAGGTAAAAATAACAGATATAATTGATATTTAAACACTGGAAATCATAAGCATCCAGCCTTTGGTTATCATCACTTTCCCTTCTAACTCCCCCAAAAAACCTGCATCAATGGCTATGTCATATGCCATTATAATGGTTGCCTATTATTAAATATTTTCCTTGAATTATTAAAAATAAAAATACTAAACATGCCATACAGATGTCCTTTTGGCTTTTGGAAAATGAAGCATAATTAAATCCATTTTTCTTTCAGTTTTAATTAAAATGCAATGAAATCCATGTTACTGTTGTCAACAGCCAATTTCAATGCTGTGTTTAGGCTCTGCGCCCTCAGGAGACCTTTTGTGAGTTTGTTTGTTTTGGGTTTTGTCCAATCCCTATGAAAATTTCTAGTGGCTTTTGAGATGTTCTGTTCTGCTCTGCTTAACTTCAGATTTTGATTTTTTTAAATGCTTTAGACCAAAGCCCTGTGTGCTCATGTCAAGCACCAAATTCCTGCTTTAAAAATCCATTTTTGGGCCCGAAAATACAGTTATGCAAGGAACAGCAGATTCCAGATGACCAGCTGAAGGGTGAGGAAAACAAAGGCAGACAAGGTTCTCTGGATAGATGTGATATCTTTTATTATTATACCAACTAAATAGTTGGAAAATTTGGTCTTTGCAAGCTTTCAGGCACAGGGAGAGTCTGTTGGGGTTTGTGTGCTCTCCTGGGTAGAATAGGGCATTTGTACACGTTTGCACGGCAGAACCGGGTGCTTTTAAAAGTATCCGGTGCTGCGGCGCATGCAGTTGTATAAGTGGTAAACTGCGCGTTAGTGCTGAGAAAATAGTGGTGGCATACTTTTGAACTAAAACACATCAGAGGTGTTTTAGTTCAAAAGTGCATGCCACCATTTTCTGCACGCTGACGCAGTTTCGCCACTTATACAACTTCACGTGGCGCAGCACAGTGCGCATCAGCTCACATGCAGAGCAGACTTGATTAATCGAGTCTGCTCCGACCTGCCGGATCTCCGGCACGTTGTGGGACAAAAAGGTATGTGTATAAATGCCAATATGCAAAATGCCAATATGCAAAAGGTGTATGTATAAAAGCCAATATGTAAAATGCAGGTCTGTGAAAATACAAATGCGTGGCCATTATAACTGAAGGCCAGCAGAGGGAGACACAGGCCCAGGAAAATGCAATCAGCCTTCCATTTTGGCAAGATTGGTGGGTCCCAAATCCTCCCTGGTGTGACTGCACTGAAAACAGCTGGTTTGCCCTTGGAAAAAAATTTGGCCCCTGAAGATGTGGCAGTGAGAGCCTTGTTTATATCTCATACAGTCCAATCAACTTGCAGGCTAGAGCAAGGCCTCCAGCATATGTCTCCAAGCAGCTGCTGGCTCACTCGGAGGAGGCCTCTGGCTGTGGCACTCTCAGCTCTGAGACGCAAAAGGGCTGAGCGCCCGCTACTCCAACTGAAGCCAAGGAGATGCTTCTTGCCTCTGACTGTGTCAGGCCTTCGGTGTCTGGGGCCAGGCCTGCATTACTGGAGGCCACTTTTAAAACCAGGGGTGCTCTTAGCTGCTGCGACACAGGCGCTTGGAACAACAACAGGAGAATGCAAGCTGGGGCAGAAAAGCTCTGCAATGTCTTTCCCCTTCCTCCAGCAGCCTCACCACCTCTCTGCAACCGCAGGGATTGCAGGGATCGCAGCTGATGAGCAAGGAGGGGTTATGCTGCCGTGGGTCTAACACAGCGGAGAGGGCAGGGGCTGGTTTCAAAGAGCCAGCAGGGTTACGTGGGGAGTGTATGCTTGTTAAGTGGCTGAGGGAGGGCTGTGGGGAGAGAGAGTTGTGGGAGAGACTGGAAGAACTCACGCATGACGGGTTTATGGACGAGCTTCCCCTAACGAGATTTGATTCCCTCATTTCTCTGCTACGGGCCTCCACACGTAGGCCAACCAGCCCAAGTCCCTGCACACAGGCCTGCCTGGCTCCCAAGGGGTCCGTCTATTCAAGGATACAGATGAAAACCTATCATTAAGAGACACCGAACTCCTCCAAGCAACCAAGCAAACACACGCACGCTCACTCACACTAGGGTGAAAGGAAATTCTGACCTCCTTGCCAATTCCACATGAGCAAAACAATGCACCACAGTGCGCTCTGCTGCCAGGGACACAGAACGTGGGGAGGAGAAACGCCCACCGCTCCAGCAAAAGGGAAGAGATGGAAATCTAATTAAAAGTCAATGGCTGTGCTGATGTAATTCTGCATGGCTTGGCTGCTTCAAGAGCACACGCTCTTCTCTCCCTCCCTGTCAGCAGATCCAGGGGCCTGATCCTACAAGATCTCAGCGCTTCTCTGTCTTTGGAAGCTGATGGGAGGAGAGGATGCTCAGTACCCTCCCTGTGGAATTGGGCAAACCCTTTTCTTGACTCAGGGCGGACTCCAGCAGACTTCTCCGCTCGGCCCAAGGCAAACTCCCCTCATCCCAGCTTGAGGCACAAGGAATGGGGGATTCATGCATGGGGCTACTGGTGAGTTGGGAGAGGAGAGGGAGGGGTCCTCTATTAAGCAGAAAGAAGAGAATACCATGTTGTAATAAAGCATGGGATGTCTGCGTTCCCCAGGGAATACCGTCCCCATGCCCTCAGGTATCCCTGGCAGCAGGGAGTGGCTCTGCTCCATGCCAGGTGGCACTTGACCACAAGTATTACTGCTATAGGCTCAGGGCTGCTTTCTGAACCAGCCCTGTCTGGACGGTCACAAGGCAGTTCCCATGACCACATCCATCATTCTGGTGCCAATGTTTTCAGTGGCACAGGGCCAGGCAGAAGTGTTCCCTACCACAGAGAGGTGACAGCGGGTCTGGCTTCTACTGCTAGTCTCACAGGTAACTGGAGAGGAGGGGTGGCATCATCAGCTGCTAAAGAGAGAGGACCACAGCCCTTCCTGTGCAAGGAAATAGCATGTGTATCCTCCCCCTGCCACGTACAAGCTGGCTCCGGGGGAGGATGACAGCTACAAGGGAGAAGGAAGGAGGTGTACTGGCAGGAAGGAGACAGGCTGGCCAATTCACAGAGCCCTGCCCCTTTCTTTGCAAGAGGCCTTCCCCTCTCTTCCCCCTGCATCCAAGCACTTTGTGCAATGGGTGTAGGAAAAGCGCTGGACTGTGGTGCTGCCTATTGCCTGACATACTGGCCAGTCATAACCTGTTACTCCCTCACACGCCTTCCCCCCACCAGTCTGCATCTAGCCCTTGTTTACCAGCTTGGACTGTGAGCTCTCCTTTGTGTTGTGCTTGTACAGCCCCTGGCACAACAAGGGCCTGGTCCGTGCCCAGGGCTGACAGCAATATGCATGAACAGTAACTGAACAGCTGCCACCTTGGGCTGGAAGGAACCCAGCCCCGTGCTAGTGCACAGCGTCCCAGGAGAGGAGGAATAATGCCGCCCCACTCCTCCCCTATCAAACCCACAGGGGAAGTTCAAACTGAGCAGGAGCTAAAATCCTGAAATGAAGGGTAGGTTTTCAGTACGTGCATGGCATTTAGCCACTTGCAAGGAAGGGCAGCCTTATGCTAAGCAGGGCCATGTTCCTCCTTTCAAAGAAAAGTACTTCCTTTAAGGCCCACTCTGCAGCAAAGCACCACCTCCGCACCACAGGGTTTAGTCCTGGTTGGGAAGAGGCAGCCCCCTCCTGAGCCTCCGCACCTTAGGGCTGAATGCTATTTCTTGAAGCTCTCCCAGCCCCCAGAAAGCTTGGCCCATACCTATGTAGCTTCAGGGCACTGATGAAATCAGGGTTGATGAGGGGGTTATTCCTGAAATCTGTACACGCCCAGGCACTCAAATTCCAAACCTAACTGCTGCAAAAACCCTCTTCTCTTCCTTCTCTCCACTGAGCCTCTGTTCTTCTCCTGTTTCAAACACTGCTGGTGTCAGCCGGCAGTCCCATGACTGGTAGGCAGCTGCTTTTCACTGATATTCCCAGCTCCCTTTCTCAACTGTTTTCAATACATATTGGCTATTTCAGAGGGACGAGGATGCGGGTATGCAGCCTCAGACTGCAGGGAGCAAACACAACAATTGCAATGAAGGGCATTCTTCCCTGACAGTCAGTCCTGCGTTTGATACCGCAGCATGCTGGAACAGGACCCAGTGACTCACTAGGGGGGCACCATGTCTTCTCAGTCAGTACTGGCTCCAGCACTGGAGCAGTGAGAAGGGAGGCCCTCTTCCCTCAGATCTCAATGCATCCATGCTAACAATAGAAAGAGGACAGAAAAATACGTTCTGGCACTTTCCCTGCAAAGCCATGAGAGTCAAACCTAGAGACCTGGAATGCTAGTGGCCTGAGCTCCACTGCTAGCCAGGTCACTCCTTTCCTATTGTCTTAAGCAAACTTGTAAAATGGAGGGGGAATGATGCTGGCCCACCTTCAAGGGAAAGGATAAGCTCAAACTAGGTGATTGCCTTATCAAGACTTAGCCAGCTGCTATTAAAAACAAAGCAACATCCTAGCCTCTGTAAGCAGGCCACCAGGGTAAATTAGAGGCATTTGGACCAGCAAGATTGTGACTGGGAAAGCAAGATTGGTGATAGAGATTCCCCAACTCTGCTAGAAGGTGACACAAGACCCCCAGGGACTACCACACATCTGGCCTTAGGGAGCAGTGGTCATCAGGGCAGAGGAGCAGATCTGTTCCTTGAAGTGTTCCCAACAAACAGGAAAAACAACTGAGCCTGTGAGCTGACATGAACCCTCAACTGTAATGGTTGGATGCAATAGGCCCCTTAGCCTCTCTCTTCTGGCTTCCCAATGACAGAGTTCAAAGTGAGGCGCTCTAGGTTAATGCTTTCACCATCTCTAGACTGGGGAGAGAAATATGTTAAGTATGCCCAGGGCAGTCAGTCAGTCAGTCAGTCAGTGGCAGAGTGAGGAAAAGACTACTGTACAGACATGTCTCCTCCTTTCTCTCCCTGCCTCTAGGCACTAGATCCACTGACTACACACTTAGCTGATACACGTTCTGGAACAGGGTTGACCAACTTGAATGAGGTCAGGGACTGTACACAGTACTGGCATGTGGCCCCTGGGTCACACACTGTGCAGGCAGTTCACTGCAGGGCCAGCCCTACACTGCATCGGTGGCATGCAGCCTCCCCACGTCCCAGGCAGCACAAGTGGTGTGCAGCTCCTTTGGCCCCCACCACATGGGCTGCTCCAGCCAGGGCCAGCCCACAATTTTTTGGGACCCCTGCAAGATATAGTTTTGGGGCCCCCTGACACGATGAAGCTGGCAGCGGCAGGGCAGGGGGCAGCCACATGTCTGCAGTGGCCCAGGCCAGAAACCAGGGGGCACCAGAACACACCTTCCTGCTTGGCTGAAACAGACAGCTTGGGGCAAGACTCACCTGCCCACCCTGTGTGTGTGGGGGGGGAAGAGGGTGTTGTGTTACAAAGCATCCTAGGATGCTGGGGGACTGAGTTAACTTGAATCTGGAAGGGATCTGGGACAGAAGTTTAATAAACTGATTTAACTTAAATCAGTTAAATCTGATACTACATCCATCCAAGTTTATCTTAAACCAGTCTCAGCCTTTTTCAAAGCAATTTATGTGCACTGAGCCACTGTAGGAATGTGGATGCATTTCCGGAATGAAAAGTGAATTTTCACTTGCTTATTGTTTCAACGTAAGCAGTTTAGACTAACCTGTGAAGATTGAACTGATTCAGCCTCGGGCTTTTTGACTCTCTACTTAGCCATAATATTAACCTTGCCCCTACAACCACATATAGAAACAGACAGTGGCAGTTAAGAAATTTGCCTACGGTCATGTGACAAGGAAATTGCAGAGCTCGAGAGAGAATATAACAGTTCTAACTCTATGGCCCTTGATTGAAGCAGCAGACAGGGCTTCCTCTTGATACCTGCCAACACAGTCAAACAATGAGCAACTAAGGGTGCAGACACAAGTGCAGCTCCCTGCCGTAACTGAGAACACTTTGCAGGAAGTGTTCTGAGCTACTAGATCTCCTGGATCAAACAGAAGTTCACTGTTGGTTCCAGAGGGGAAGGGAATCTAGCAAGCCTGCAGCCCGTTTTCCATAGCAGGGGCCCTGGCCCCTGCTAGGCTGCAAAGTTTTCAGAATGGGAGGGCAGAACAGGAGCTCATGCTAGGGTAGGCGTGGGCAAAGTGGGCCTACATCGGATTCCACTTCCCAGCAGTCCCTGCCCGCGTCTCTGCGACTGGTTTCCATGGAAATCCTAGCAGCAGCGGGGCAGTGACAGTGTGGGGCCAGGGTTTCCACGGAGAATGGCCCCAGCAGTGCTGGCAGGGTGCGCAGCTGGGCAGGGAGCTGCTCTAGGCCCAGGATCTTGCAGCAGACAGGGTGGTCCAGAGTTGGGGCAGAACTACTATCCGCTGCCCACACATCCTGGGCAGGGGCATACAGGCAGCAGATCACAGCTCTGACCTTGTTCCAGATCATGCTGTCACTGCCACATGATCCTAACCCTAACCCTGGAGCAGCTCCCTGCCCAGCCTCACACCCTGCCAGCATTACTGGGACCAGTCTCCATGGAAACCCCAGGCCCATGCTGTCTCAGCCCTACCACTGCTGGGGTCTCCATGGAAACCGGCTGCAGCAACATGGGAGTCTGGACACTAGTCAGATCTGCCATTTTGCCCACCCCTATCCCAGGGGTTCCCCAGCTCGCACTCAAGGATGAGGGTCCAACCTCAGGGGGGCTCCAATACACCCACCCCACCCTCCAGCAGGGGCTGAAACCCCCCCAGACTGAACTCCTCTGCTCCCTTTCCCCCCTCCCATTCTGAAAAGTGACAGACTGGGAGGCAGCACAGACAAATTGCAGAAGAAACTCCGTTTTGAAACCTTTTCATCTGACCCTTCATGCAATAAGGCTTCAGATTTTCACCTGATCGGCCATTTTTAAGCTGTCTGCAGCCATGCACTTGTGTTTGGTCACAGCTATCAACTACTTTCTGCAGCCAAATCGGGCAAAAATTGTCACTTCTGTCTGAGCATCTGAGGACAAGGTGATTCAGAGAAGTGATCAAGGAGGGACAGGGCCAAAGGCACTGGAGGGACAGAGATCAAGAGGAGAAAAAACCATGGTGGAAGCACAGCTGCCTGTTTACATCACACACAGCTGGGAACATAGGGCCAGCCAGATTACACAGAGGTTTTCCAGAGCCTGTGCTAAACAAAACTGCTCCCCACTACCCCACCCAAGGCCCCCATTACACTACACAGCTCTGTTTTTAACAAGGGCTCCTGTTCTGCAGCCAGCAGACAAACACTACCCGTCCAAAGGGAAATCAAGCATTGTTTATAGCAAGAGCTCTCCATGGCATGGGTCTGTCCCATAACCAGAGACCCATCTGAGAGCTCTGTTTACATCATGCTAACAGCCAAGGGGCAAAGGCAGAGGGACATGAGGATGAGGGGAGACTGAACTTGTTTGTTATTAACATGTTCTAGTGCAGTGGTCCCTCAACCTTTTTTGTACCAGGACCCATTTGTAAACATCAGTAAATAGTTTAAGTAGAAAACAGTCCCCTGGCCCTGCTGGTGCCCCACACTCCCAACCCACCTCCCCCACCCCCAGTGTGTGGAGCAGGGGGGGAGTGTGTGTGGGGCACAGGGGAGGGGGGCAAGCAGGCTGGAACTCTGCCAGCCTACAAAGGAAAACCCACAATTTCCCATGTTTTTCTCCTTTAAAGAAGAATCCATTTTTAAAGTTTGTTTGCAACCCTTCATATATTCTTGTGATGCACTTTTGGGTCACAACCCATGGGTTGAGAAATGCTGTTATAGTGCATTTGCTCTTGAATAGTGCTTGGCAGACCTGAGGAACAGGAATGGGTGGAGAGACAGATCTGGGCGGGGGGATTACTCCCTTTTACAAAGAGGATGCAACAATGCAAAGAATATGGTCTCTGACTTTTCTCAGGACTAATGCCGTCTGCTGGCTCGCTTCAACTTTGGCAGGAAAACTAAACAGATCTTTTTCACATTAGCAGCTTGGTACAGCTGCATTTGGGCTGTGCAGTATGGAAGGGGAATATCTGAAGGCTAAACAGGCCAGTCCATCTCCCCATCTCCTCCAGCAAAAAAAAAAAAAGAAACAAAAAAATAGGCCTTTTATTTTTTTGGCAAGTCATGCATATATACCAAAGAGTGGTTCTAAACGGTTGCTGAATAACTAAAGATGACTACACCACTGTGACTGGGAAAGGGAGTGAGGGCAGGCTGTTGCAATCAGAGAGCAGGGAGAAACTAGGGTTAGTGAGGAAGACGAGGAAAAACTATGATCGGCTTCTACTCTTCTGTAGGTAGGTGGATTTGGAAAAAAAGGATGTTATTACGTAAGGAGAGGGCTGCAGGACTAGCAAGTCTATGGATTTGGGGCAACAGGCATTGGGACCTGAGACGAAGAATAGGAACTAGACAAGTACTGGGATCAAGCCAGCAAAATGTAGCAGATGAAATGAGAAAAAGGCAGCAGCTCCCTGTTGCGCTCCTATCCCAAAAGTATGTGCCAGTCTGTGGTTTCCTTTCCTATTTTTGGCAGGCATTTGCCTTCTGTTGAAATAGAGTGCAGCCCATTCCAAGACCAGTCCAGAGTCCATGGAGGCTTCAAGGGAGATAAAATAGTCACCCACAATCCAATGGCAGCCATCCCAATTATTCAATATTTTTACTGGTGAGTGTAGCTTTAGGCACACATTCCACCAGTAAGAGGGTAATGATAATGACATGGCTACAGATAGAATAGTCATTATATTTCCAGCTGCTATTAACATGCAAGTAAGCAGGAAAATCACAAAAACCAATGCAAATAACCCCAGAAGACCAAATTACACAGCAGCTGTTTGCAGCAGCTGCTGTCTCAGGAAAAGGTGCTTTACCACTAAACTTTCCACAATAGAGATAAAGAGTTAAAAACCAACTCCCGGCTGTCATGGCTACCAAATTCACTGCACCAACACCACTGGCACTTTAAGAAAAATAAAAGAGCAAAAAGGGCCTTCACCCTATACAACATCTCAGTAACAAAGAGCTGAGTCAGTACAAATGGAGAATCTAAACTAAACCCTGATGGAAGTGGGGCTATTGATTCACTAAGCAGGTGCTCTTCCCCAAGTTGGGGTTATTGCCAACCAGGCTAAAATCTGACGCCCATTCACTCTTCTTATGACTTTGTGTTCATTAGGTAAATAAGCCTATTCTCACCATTTTAGGAACATATGGAAACATTCCTGATTGGATAAGCAAGGGCTTTTTTGGCTGTATCTTTTATTGGACAAACTATGTAGATGGGAAAGATGACAAGGCAGCAACCAGAAAGGTTTAATGTGAGTGTTAACAGATCAAGGCAAATCCTAGGTTAAAATCTACCATTCACCTCAGCCAAGTAATTTGTTGGCATACTACAATCTGCCTTGGGTCAACACTAAGGTTACAGTTACCAGCCAGGAAAACATCCTTTCCCAGAGTGGGCACAACCCAGGAGCAGGATTACTGATCTCTCTACCCAGAGGGTTTTATATTTACATACTTGGTACAATCATTTGAAAACACAAAGGGTTAAATAAACAATATTCTCCCTCCTTCCCTAAAATTAGTTCTGTGGTTATAGCTGAGTGCAAGATGAGATGGGGTGCTATACTCCATCCCAGAACTGAAATGCAACTAAAAGAGCAAGGCTTTTGTATGTTAAGCCTCATCCTGTGTCTTACACCTGAAACAAACACACCCTTATCTGCCAAATTTCTTAGTCAGGAGAAATGTCACCCATTTCCTTCTATCCCAGTTTTGTAGAAGTCCCCTTCCTAAATTGTTTCCTTCAATTTAGGGCTGGATCCTGCTGTCATTGGGGTGCCTGGCAAAACTAGGATGACAGCGAGAGCGCTAGCTGTGCTAACTGAAGTCAGGCAGAAAGCAGGTCACCGTTACCTCTGCCTTCCTTAGAAAGAAAGAACAAAAAAGACCTTATTATCTATCCCAGGGCTGTCTAACTGGCAGCAGTAGCTGAAACAACTGTATCAGCACCAGCAATGAAGGAGTTTATGCCATCACCACTATAATTTAACCACTTTAAACCCAACAACTCATTTGAGTTGGTGCCCCTAACCTAAAGAGGCTTGACTAGCATCTTTCTCATACATAAAGTCCACACATCTCAACAATGCTACTGAGTATATTATTACATATTCATCTTGTACCTGAATAAAAATGAACCAAGAGAAGCTTTTTAAATTAAGCTGAGCAAAGTCCAGTTGTCGCCACTGCCAGAGAATGTCCATGCGGCATCTAGGGGTAGACTCAACCAGTGACAGTCAAATATTATTTGCCTAAAGTTACACACAGCAAGTCAGTGGCAGTAGTAGGAATAGAACCCAGGGTTCTGGATAATTTTTCCAATGCTCCTTCTTTTGGGCAATACTGCTTAAAAAAAAAAAAGAAGTGAAGCTCAGGACAGTAGTTTTTCTTGTTTTGAGCCTCACCCCCAGCTTCCTGAACACCATCCCTCAGTGCAGATGTATGAAATGCCTCCTGTGACTAAAATCCTGATCCTGTGAGCACCCTGCACAGGGAGTTTTGCAGGCTCAGTATCCAGCACACCTATTAGCTAGGAAGTGGCACTCTGAGCAGCACAGGAAAGGGATCTTGGGAGTCATAACGGACTCCAAGATAAACATGAGTTGTCAGTGTGATGAAATCAGCAAAGCTGACCACACTTTATCATGCATCAGCAGATGTATGATGAATAGAACCAAGGAGGTGATACTTCCCCCTCTATGCAACATTGGTCAGACCACAGTTGGAGTACTGCGTCCAGTTTTGGGCATCATACTTCAAGAAGGATGTTGATAGACTCAAGATGGTCCAGAGGGTGGCCACTCATATGGTTAGGGGTCTATAGGCCAAGCCCTATGAGGAGAAACTAAGGGTCCTGGATCTCTTCAGCATCCGCAAGGAAGGCTAAGAGGTGATCCTGTGGCCGCCTACAAATTCATTAGGGGAACGCAGCAAGGGATTGGAGATGCTCTGTTCACCAGGGCGCCTCTTGGGGTAACAGGGAACAACGGTCACAAACTGACAGAGAGCAGATTTAGGCTAGATATCAGGAAAAACTTCATGGTAAGTGTGGCCAAAATTTGGAATGGGCTTCCAAGGGAGGTAACGCTCTCCCCTACCATGGGGATCTTTAAGAGAAGGCTGGATAGGCATCTGACTAGGGTCATCTGACCACAGCACTTTCCTGCCTAGGCAGGGGGTCAGACTCGATGATCTGTTGAGGTCCCTTCCGACCCTAGCATCTATGAATCTATGAAAGCCAACCAGAAGACAGGAATCCTTGGGAGCACTGCACTTTAAGTTTCACTTTAATTACAAATGATTATGTGGCAAAGGAATTATGGAGCAGCATGTGGTACAAACACAAACAATTCATACAGAACAGCGACTGTTGCCAATTTCAGGCACACCATGTTTGCACTTTGGACAACTCATCAGATTGCTGGGGCACTGTGAGCAGCAACTTCTCCTGGGTTTTTTATTTATTTTTGCATATCGCCACCTCCAGTTGCAAGAAAGCTTCGTAGATAGATTTTAACATGATACAGGTTACAAACCAGTTATGTGCTGGGCCCAGGTTTCTGACAATCTATATGGTAGCAATAGGAAAGACTGACTTTATAATCCCACTTTACTCTTGATGAGCAGATTGCAATCATTTTCCTTAAGTGCAGGCTTCACAATATGGTTGGCTATGTCTTACAGACTACAGACTGAATTATTGCAAGGTGCTTCCTCAAGGGCTACAACTGAACATAGAAATGACACACCACAGCAGACCAGTGGGCCTTTATGAGAACACTTCAGAGGGAGTAAAAACCAAGTAAGTACAGTAGAAATAAACCTGCCCGTAGGAAATATTCTTCCTGATCCAGTCAGTCAGATACAGCTTATGCCATGAAGTCCTAAGATAAAAAAATTATATATTCTTTATTTAGTACAACTGTGGATGTTCTTATTCATATAAAGGCTTAATCTTTTCATGAATCCTGCTCAGCTTTGGGCACCAATATCCTGAAGAGTGTTTTGACACTGACATTCATTTGCCTTAATGTTGCTTTTTAGAGGAAGTGTGTTATACTGATCTAGCTTCTACTCTCGTGGTAATAAGTTGCTAGGTTTAAGCTTTAAAAAAACATTTTGTTCTTCGAATCTGGAACAGCTTGCATGAACCCACGGTCATTTCATCAACTGATATTTGTTACTTAAGCACTCCATGTCTGGGAGATCTCAGGAAAGGTGCTGAGTTCAGAGTTTAATTTTGCCAGTCTTCACAATACATTACAAAGCCCTTGTTCAGTGCTGATCCAGACTTTGAAGACAAGTGTAAAACTGATGTTTTTGTGTTTTGTCAAATTAAGTTAGTCTGGATTTATCTATTCAGATGTTTTGTACACATCTTTATTTGTCTCTCTCTTTCACCCTCCCAAAGCTTTCAATAGGCACATTATTAAATCAATGCTAATAAAATGTTTTTCTTTGCAGATGTTGTATTACACCAATATCATGAAACATTAAAAAGATGTGTATGTTTTATCTCTCATATTTTTTTATTTAAATTGCGACTAATCACCTCGTGAAGCATATTTTAACAACAATATGGCAGCCTTAAACACCACTGTTATAAAGTAGCTGTTTCATTATGGATCCACAAGAACTTCATAGTAACAGTTGGCATAAAAGTCAGATCCCACTAGAAACAGTCTCTGATCAGTTAAAGAATCTCTTCTGAACGTGGGCAGTATACAACCTCTGACACAAAGTTGAGCAGTTTTGGATTCCATCAAGTAAAAGACAGTGATACATGCGTACGTGCGCATGCATGCACGCGCGCACACACACACACACGCGCGCGCGCGCATGCGCGCGCACACACACAGTGTAGGTTGGTTATTACTATGTATTACTTAGTGTAGTTTAAGTTTTCTTTCACAACTGCTCAAACAAAATCATAGCAACTCTACCCCACACACAATTTGCAAAGTATTTTGGCTTCCTTCGGAATGAAATCAATCAGGAAAAGTTAGTTACAAGAGAGAAGATGGAATCAGTTGTAAGGTTCTGACTTCACAGAGCCAGAGTTGTGGGGTCACCAGATTTCTGAAGATGACTGACACAAAGAAAATATAGTCAAAGAAGGGTGGAAAAAGACACTGTATTTGAAAAAAAGAGCTACTGAAAAGACCCCACACTGGTGAATCAGTTCACAATGCATTTATTTAGCTTTTCCATGTTACAAAGGCCACTGTGGCTGCTGTTATTCCAACTTCTGGTCTTCATCCTAACCCACACCTATTCAGGCCTGCTCATTCTTCCCTTTATCTTTCAGGGTGCAGGGAAAGGTTTCTGGCAGGAAGATCTCTTGCTGCTTCACGAAACCTAGAGAAATAAGCCAGAGAACATGTCAGTCTCCTTCACGATGACAGAGAAAGTGGAAGTTTCAAACATACATCACAAAAGGCACGACCACAACTGGCAACTAACTGGCCCCCTTGGTGGCAGTCTCAGCAGACACACCAAGGACCAATTGGACCATGGAGACCAAGCTCCTCTCTCGACCTCAGGGAAGGTCCCTCCAGGTTCAGTGGAAGCTGTATGCTCTGAAGAAGTTTATTGGCATCTATGGGTTACCTGTCTTGTGGACAGAGGGCTTCAATCTCTGTGACTGCTGATCCAGCACCTTTCACCACCATTATCTTCCTGTGAAAACATTTCATATGGAGGAAAATTCATATATAAATCTGCCAGAATAAAAATTGCAACCTTTTTCTTTCCAGTTCGCCCATTGGCAAAGCCTCAGAATGTGCCACTTGGAAGACAAACATTTCTGGCATTCAAGAAAGGACTAGGCTTCTCACAACAGACTACATTTGGACTACTCCTCCCAGAAGCTGCCTCAAAAATGGGTGAGGAATTAGAATGTAAGTGTTGTTTCTGTCATCCGCATGTTTGTCGGATGATGGAACAATATTGGTATCCTCTCTTTTCTGAGAGAACTCAAGCCACTCATCACAATTTTCTTTCTAAAAAACCTTAAGTAGTTTTCAAGTTCTATGCAAAACACACAACAACACTACAAGGCTCATACCTGTAGGAGAGCCCAAAGGCTAAATGACATGCAGTGCTCCACGCAACAACAGTAAGGAAGAAGAATTGCCTATCACCACACAGGCAAACCCCATCTTTATAGCAATGGCCCAGTAAAACTTTACAGTTTACCAAGAGGCAAAGGTGCCTTCCTTTTCCCCTACCAACACCCCCATCCAACCTTCCTGGACCCTAGTCTGTCACAGTTCTTAAGGCAATGAGAAGTCAAACCAGTATGCACATATTCCAGTGCTGTCTCACTCACCTGTTAGCTTGAGGTTTCCATTTTCAGGCTTAGGAGAGTCCTTGTTTTATTTACCTATGTAATAATACACACTTCTATAGCTCCTTCTCTTCAAAAACCTGAGTGCTCTGCATACATCAATGAAAGCCCCATATGCTGAGCTCCCTCCATGCATTTAATGTTAGTGGGGAAAACCTGCTTTAAAAAGCCCAAAAGTAACACCAAGTGTGTTGTAAAGATCTACCCCCTGTGCTACCAGCCATGCTGAGGTGGGCCCTGTCCTACTTTCTCACCACAAATTTCACCCCTTGAATAAAAAATCTTTGTTGAAATCAATGCATTCCCCTGAGAAGTTTTGGTTTTGAGAAATTCACATTTTTAGATTAAAATAATTTAATTAGAAGAATCTTCTCTAAATGCTAACCAGCTCTTTATGAGACTATAAAAAGGCACGTGTGTCACATGTCAGTTGGTCCCATTCTGTCCCAAGTGACAAAACGAAGGTCCATATCTAGCACAGCCACCTGTAACTTGTTACCCTCACTAGGACTGTCCAAATGGCAGCCTTTGAGCCACATGTGGCCCATAAGGGATTAAGTTGAGCTCCCCAGACTCCTGCCGAGGTGGTGTTCCCTCATTTCTCCATCTGCAGAAGCCAGTGTGCCTGTGTTTCTCCTCCCTCCTCCAGCTGCCTTTTCCTGCCTTCACCCAAGGAGGTGGGGCAATGTGGCAAGCAGCAGAGGGAGCTGAGGGTGAGCACTGGGCAGAACAATTACACCCTACACCAGGGGTGGGCAAAATGTGCCCGCGGGCCAAATGCGGCCCGCCAGGCCATTCTATCTGGCCCACGGGACCACTAAAAATTTAGAAAATTAATATTTCTCTGCCCCTGGCTGCCTGTCATATGTCCCTCAATGGCTTGCCAAAACTCAGTAAGTGGCCCTCCTCCTGAAATAAGTGCCTGCCCATGCCCTACACTGAGCAGTGGGGCAAGGGTGCTTGTAAGGGCACACCTTGCAGAAGGGTAGGAGAACATCCACACAGCCCTCTGGCCTGTGGATAGAATAGCATGGTCCCTGGGCACTTAGAAGTTGGACAGCCCTGCCCTATATCAACTCAGACATAACATTACTGTGTAAATGGCCAGTTCCTACACCTGGACAAAAATATGCAGGGATACAGTAAAACTAAAATTAAGAACACTGATCTTCAGAAAAAAAGACACCACTCAGTGACAGTTATTAATACTCTACAAGTTGATAAATAACCATTTTTGTAGAGGACAGCAAACAGCATTTGCCCATCCCATCATGCCACCACAGTAAGAATGATATCATACAGACTGAATGATTGACTTGGGACATGTGATCTAATTATTTTGCCTTTGCAGAATTAAATATAAAGGTTGATAGCTTTGGGGGCATCTAACAGACTGGAGCAAAACATTAGGCAAAATATTTCAACGTATTTTAAACCCCTAGTATAGACTGGGAAAACTAGTTTAGTAAGCATTCATATCCTTTCAGCAGTTTACCTCAACCAGCTAATGGGTTAGAATACAACCTGCTCAATTTACATTATTTTTTTCAAAAATAACACTTGGATATGTCACCTTTATAGCACACACACTTTTTGTCCTAATCCTGGGAAGCCAGTTCTCATTATGGGATGGCAGGCCTGGCCTAAGCTACTTTTAGAGCCTGATATCTCCCTTCCCCCCCAACAGATTTCAACCCTAAACACTGTAGGGCTTTCTGCAGCCAACTGTTCTTTTAATAAGATGTGCGCACAAGCCCACCAGGATGCTTTAAAATGCCAGCCACAAGGGATGCAGTTATTTAAGGCAGGCAGAAGTGACAATTCCTACTCCTTACAGGTTTGCTCTCCTGCTCTTTCCTCCAACTAACCACAGGGCCTGCTGTCCCAAGCACATCAAGAAATGCCAGATCGGGATTAAACTGTGGGTGCAAATAGTGCCTTATTGCACAGGCACTAAAAAGGCTGCTCATCACAAATGTAACTCCCCCCACACTCCCCCAACCCCAACCATGCTTCCTACAAAGAAGTACAAAAAAGGCATGGAATGGACTATGAAGGAATGAAACTTTACCCCTCTAGCTAATACTCCCACCCCACCCCACCCAGCATTTTACTTTTAGAAATAGAGCTGAAGCATGGAAAACTTCTGTATACCCTAGTAAAAAAAAAAAAAGAGCAAAATTATTTGTTTTAGTGATGCAGTGATAGAAACAAACACCACTGCCAAACAGAGGCAAGGGATGAAACCCACTAATATCTTTTAACAAACCCTCTCCTCTCCGTGTGCTAATCTAGCTCCGCCTAGAACCTATCACTGATGCACTTGGGCAACACTTGCATTATTCATCATGTTGTTGGAGAGTTTAGGTTTGTTGCAGTGTCAGAAATTGTTCCCAGTTCCTCTCCTTGACCCCACGCAGCCCTCACATGCTTACCCTGATATCAGAGAACAAGAGAAATGGAGAAGTACCCTGCCTCAGCAGTGTAAATGCTCCTCTTTGTTTTAGCCTAATCCACACTCCAGCTCTCTCCCCATAGCCCTAGCCTGCTGAAGTCCACTCCTCTTGATATATGCATTCCCCTTCCCCAACTTGGGGTCCATGAAAAGAAACATCCTGTTCTCCCTTGGATACCTTTACCAGGAGGGCTGAACTGAATACATAAAAGTTCTGCTTTTGTTGCATCTCAGAAGCCTTTGCTAAACAACCAAAGTTTCATCTGAAATGGCTTTGTAAAACCAAGGCCCACATTTTTATACCCTCCCTTCTCAAGCGCTGCCAAGGAGAAAAGATTCCTGGAGATGCTCTGTAAAGCAGATGTGTTCTCGAGCTGGGAAGTGAGTGTTCTGTCCAGACAGATCTGCCCTCCTCACACCTCTCAGGTCTCCTGTTCCACTCACTCTCACAGGGGAAGAACCTGTCATCTTACCAGGATAAAACATGGCCAAAAGACCCTCTATCACAATCAGAAGGAATTATGCAGGTTTCCACAACAGCTCCTGCCCCAGGTCCACTGCAGTGCTCACTCAGCTCTCCTGTTCCAACTGATGGCCAAGGGTGGTGGTGAAGGGATGGTCTTGCAACAGACAGGAGGAAATCCTGGAGGATCACAAAGAGCCATTTTACTGGTCTTGACCACACCTCTGTTCACATCAATACCCCTACTTTTGACTGTTCTTGCTTTGAATGTCTTAACCTGCTGTCTAACACAATAGTCTGACCATGGGTTTAAGAACCTCCACTGAACAGATCTCTTTTCAAATTCCTACTCAAAGTACCTTTCCCAGTTTGCACCTCTACAATGACCGAGGCTCACTTCCCACAGGAGAGTTCTCTGTTGATTTCAAACAGAGACTGCTCAGAGGAGGCAAGCTAGCATGCAGTAACCAGGATAATATTTAGCAGCAGAGTGAACTAGGAATACTTACCAAGTAAAAAAAAGCTGCAGCTATGATCTGTGTATACATATATATTGTCAGGCATCAGTTATATTGTCTGGGATCAGAAGTGTTAATCTCAAAACCATCTCTTTTGGCCTTCAAGACTTTCTGGCAAGACTATCCTTTCCCCTCCGTGCCCCTCTCTCCCATTCTTATTCCTGTCTGGTAGTAAAGTTTTTTGGGTGTCAACATTTTAAGACTCTATTGGAAGGATGGACAGAGCTGAGAAGGTGGTATGTGTTATACTGGAATGTGCTAAAGGCTGCCATCAACCTCTGCTTTGAATTTCCTAACCAGATGGCAGGGGCTCCCTGTATTCTGTGCCCCTCATTCCAGCTCTTCAAGTGTTCAGTGCAGTTAATAAAGTTCTGGTCTTTAATGCTTAGAACATTCAGAGTTTTCAAGTTACTGAGAGAAATGCCATCAAGTTGAATATTATAGGGTTATGATACATCTGGGCTTTCCCAGACATATCCGTCCAGGCGGTTTTTTGAAATCTGAACAAGCATCCAGGATTTTGCTCTGCTCCACTGGTGGGAGCAGGGGGAGGGCGAATGGAGGCAGTGGGTGCACATGCGTCTGCATGTGCACGTGTGTGCCTAGCATGCAGCCATGTAGAGTGGTGAAAGTAGCCCCAGCAACTGGATGCAGGTAAGTGTATGGGGGGCAGGGTTGGGGGACTGTCCGGGGTGTGTGCGTGCATGTGTGCGGGGTGGAGGGGGGGGGCAGGTGCCTGTCAGTACTGGAGAAAGTCTTATACAACACTCTAGCAGGGCTGGGGCTGTGACAGGGTGGGAGGAGGTGCCAGCCCCTCCAGCAAGAGAAGGGGGCGGAGGGCCATTTGAGGGCAAGAGGGAGCTCTGCCTCCAGCCCACCCACATTGGGGCCAGGCAGCCCTAGGAAGCGCTGCCCGGGGAGTGGGGAAGGGGAGTGGGGTCATGGCTAGGCTGCTTGGTGTGGTATGGGAGCCCCAGCTCAAGGCAGAGGGTGCCACAGGCATCCTCTGCTCCTCCCTCCAGCCTGCGCTGAGGCTGGACTCACTCTGCTACTGCCTGCATGAGCTGGACCTGCTGCACTCCAGCTGGACGCCAGTCGAGAGAGGGGCAGGTGAGGGCCCCCTCTAGTAGGGCTGGGGGGGGAGCGGGTAGGGGCTGTGAGTCAGGAGCGTGGGACAGTGGCAGTGGGCTGTGGCTCGGGGGTGAGGGGCACCAGCATGGGGGAGGGCACGAAACTGTGGGTCAGGAGTGAGAGGCACTGGCAGGGCCAGAGGTATATAGGTCAGGAGGGGCAGCAGCAGGATGAGGGGGCAAAGGACTGTGGGTCAGGAGTGAGAGGCCAGGGGTCTGCAGGTCGGGAGTGAGGAGCAGCAGCAGGGACGGGGCTACAGGCTGGGAGTAAGGTGTCCCCCTGACAGGTGTCCTTTTTTTTTTGGAACTTAGACATATGGTAACCCTAGAATATTACATCTCAATTCACTTGGCCAATGAATAATTAGTTCCAAGCAATTAAATTTTTTTTTTTTTGCAAAAATCTTGTTGATCTAATAAAAGAGATCAACTCTACTACAAGTCCTGATTGCCTAGTCCCAAGTAGGAATCTTTCCCTCCATCTCTGTCCTCCACAAAGAACTCACAATGTGCAGTCAGTCATTGCAGTTCCAGGGCATCACTTAAAAGCAGGGGTGTCAAACTTATTTGGCCCAATGAACTGAATGGCTGGTGTACAGTCAATCCACAGGCCAGCCTGGGCCTGCAGACCAGCCCTGCATACAGATCTGGTCTGAAACCCAGGGCCAACACTACAGGCCACATCTTTGACATCCCTGACTGATACAGTAAATAACATCCATTTGCACAGGGAAAATATTATAAGGGTACTTGCCAGGTTCAGAAGCTTTTATTTACTAGGTTTTGTAAGCACTACTTCACTAAAAGTTTATTTTTAAAGACTTTTTGTGATATGTCACCCTAAAAGCAATTTAGCTTTTGACATTTATCAACTTAGACTTAACCATTACTGTATGCGTGACCTTTACTTCTTATTTCACAGGTCCTAGAACAATGGTGCAAAGACCAGGATTCAGAATCGGGGAGGGAAGGTCCCAGTGAGATTAAGATCTTGGAGATTTTGTAGCAAAAGAAGCGATAGGAAAGGGGGGGCTCCATGAATTTAAAAGCCTTTGCTGAGCAACCAAAGGTGGAGAAAGTAAATAGGGATTTAATATGTCATTTCTATTAGAACTGGAGGAAATTAGGAACCAATTTAAACACTAACAAAAGGAAGTTCTCACACAACATGTGATTAACATGTGAACCTCATTGCAGCAAGGTATTGTAGAGGCCAACAATTTAACCAAGTTCAAGAGTAGATCAGACACACTCATGTAGGAAATGTCCCTCAGTAATATTAAATATGAGCGTTAAGGCTGCAACTTCCATATTAGGACCTCTTAGTACTTAATATGCTGGAAGCTGCAAGGGAAGCAGGGCAGGGGATTGATCACTTTGGCTAGGCCCTGAATAAATACTTTTCCCTTTAGTATCTGAAGTGTACTGCGAGATACAGAACACTGGGCTAGATGCATCTGCGGTTTGACCTAGCATGGCATCCCTTACATTCTTACATTAACCAGAGTGGTCCGACTCCGTGTCACAGACCTCATGCTGAACCCTCGCATTTGCTGCCAGATAACCCTGGCTGTTGCTGTGAAATTCAAGTAGCTTCTCTATATAGCGAAAGTGGCAGGTATGACATCTTAAGTGACCAAAAATCTGTAATAATATGAACAACAAAACTAGGGAGCTACAGCTGGCTGCTCTACTGCTGTAATTAATGCTCCCCACACACTCTAAATGGATGAAAAACTATCATAATACTAGGATGAAAACAGTTCAAATTACTTCTAAAACTGGTTCCTCTTTTAAAGGAAAGTACTTTTGGTGAGGAAATGCTAAATATATTTAACATGTGGTGTTTGTAGCCACAGAGTAATATCATGGTAAACCACTCAGAACATTTCAGAAAGGGATTATATAGTAATGTGAGAGCAAACAGCACATAAAGTAGCACGAAACAGAAATAAAAGAATTACATAGGCCATCAGCCCCTCAGGCTTTGGGGCTGATCGCAGGCTGAAAAGAGAGCGGTGTCAGAAAGTGGCTCTTTCCATTGCATAACACTCCACAGCAAGTAGCCTTATGGAGACATGGGCCGTCATCTTGGGTATCTAAACCTTGGCTCATGTCAGAGACAGTATGGAAATTGAAGACTGCAAAGAGAATCAAATCCAAGACGGAAAGAAGCAAGATAGTCCCAATGTATCTAATCTACGCAGGCAATTCTTGTGATGGGTAAGAATTGAGTAAATCTGACTCACCGTTCAAAGGGAGAATTCTGGGACCTCCGTCTCTCTCCACTCTTCCCCTTGCTTCCGTTATTTTGTCTTCCATTTCTCCCCACTGCAGGTTTCTCAGGTGACAGCCACATTAGTTCCTTCTTCTGCTACTGCCACCTACCAGTTTTATTATTCTGTTGCAGCATAAGGGCATATAGAAGAAGTTCTTGTTCAGCACTCAGATAATCACACAGGGATTCCCTTTGTCTTAGGAGCCAAGGCTTAAATCAAGTGTCTGATATCCTCCCCTCACCCAATACCATTTGTAAAGCACAGCGAACAAGCAAAACCAATACCAGGTTTTGGGTGTGGATATATGCTGGGTGTGGACATAGGTACATTTGGAAACTTTTCAAAGGGACAACAGTCTGTTCATTCCAACTGTTGTGTGAACAGCAAAGAACAATACAAATGCATAAATGTGGATGAAGGAGTGTTAAAACTGGAGCTGTTTGAATTGCTGTGGACTCATTAACACTAGCAATTAGAACAAACCAGCTGCTCTCCTTTGAAAGGGTACCAAAGGCAGGTGAGTAGCCACATCTTTTGAAACTCATTCCAGCAAACCAGAGAGAGGTGCAGGGCTGAACATTTAGGACCCTGCAATAGTCTCTCTTCTGCACTCCCCTACAGACTGTTTGCACACATTATACAATTTAACTTTTTTGCCACCAAGAGAACATTCAAAACATGTATTATCATGGATCTTAGGTGCAAAATTTAGAGCCAGCGATGCAAGTACCTAACATATTGGGAGATGAGAAAAATTCAGACCCATTTTTTAAAGAATACTACAGTCCCACAGATAGTTCCTCAAAAGAAAAGACACAGCCAGGTGTGAAAGTGTTACATCCGTATCCTATAACAGTCGATATACAAACAGAAACCAAAAACAAAGGAATAGGCCTGCCCAGTGGCAAGAAGAAAGAAGTGGATGCATCTTAAAGGGGAGAGGAGGGAGGGAAAGCATTGGAAAAATATGAATATAGGAGGTCTGTAAAATGAGAGGCACAAATTTTACCCTTGATTATGCCACTGAAAATTGGAAGTCACTTTACTGACTTCCAGAGAGGGATACTAGATTTATTTCAGTGCATCTGAGAGCAAAATTTGGGTCTATCTAAAAATGATTTTCTTTTGCTTCATTTAAAGTAGTGATTCAACACACTGTTGACATAACTATTTTCTAGAACATACATTGGTGAGTTATTTGTATAATCAAAACATTTTTAAAACAGGACTAACAAAGGACTCCTTTATTAGGAGTGTACTTAAGATAAAAATGCATTTTATCTGGGATACTCATATTGAAAACTTGCCTGAGGAATCATATGCCCAACTAGGGAACTCCCTCTGCTATCTGCTTTACTTCTGGGCTTCCATCATGGATTCTCCTATTCTTAGGAAGATACTAAATTGTGGATATCTGCAAGGTGATTTGAAACCACTGGCTGGGAGGTGACAAAACAACTAAGTGTTTATAGATGCTGAGATATTATTGTGAGAGGAACACTAAAAATACTCCAGAGAGATACCATCAGTGCTGGGTTGTTTGCTTTAAGCAGAGGCATTCTTCCATATGCCCTGATGCCCCAATACCCAGCCCTTCTATGTAATTTTAATCCTAAAATTAACTCTCTTGGTACTAGTTTTCCATACCTGTCAACTTCTAATTGATGCCGTTAAGCTTTGTGCTCACTGTACACCTGGGGAAGCACCATAGCCCTGTGAAAACTTAAGCCAGAATAGCACATTGGAAGGAAAAAGAAAAAAAAGTAGAGATTCAAAGAGGATGATGGAATTTGTGCACTTAGACACCATCCCCATTATGACACAGTGTTGGCTTTAAACCACCCTCACAGTAGTCTCAATTGAACAAAGTAAGGGAAAAAGCTTGGAAGATTTCTTAAAATGTATCTTATTGGGGGGGGGGACAGTAAAATTCCTCAAATAACAATGAAAAGAAGAACTGGTAAGAGAAGTTGGTTTTTATTTTGGGGGGGGGGGGGGGGGGGGGAGAGAAAGAAAAAAAATGCAAGATTTGCTCTCTCGGCCTCATTGTTGGAGAAATCCTCTGAGAAGATTCTTCAAAAAATGGATTGGATAGGAAAAAGAAGGAAGAAAGGAAGGAAGACAGGCAGACAAGTTAGCAAACATGATGGTTTAAAAAAGGAGCAGAAAGAGTGAATTTACCTGCCAACAGGTCGGTTTTGGATGCCACCAAACTGCTGCATTTACCGTTTTACCAGCTTGCGTTACTGGGGGGAAAAGTTTAGGAAGGAATATTCTCAAGGACTTTTCATAAGCTCTCACTCTTGCCATCAGAAAGGGGAGAAGGGAAGTTTTTTCTCTGGATTGTTTGACTTTTTTGGCTCCTGAAAAGTTTTGCAAAGAACAGTAAGAGTATGAACTGTTAGAAGACATTTCCTACGCACAAAGTAGAATAGTTTACAAAACCACCTGAGAACCGCACATCAGTTTGAGACTTTAGTTTTAACAAACAAAACATTTCAACTGAAAAAACTGTAATACAAGGGGTTTTGAGATTTCTCTCAGCAGGCTAGTTAATATCTAATATCAGAACACTCCAAAAATTGCCCTCCAAGGTCAAGAAAGACAAAGAATATAACAAAGAAAAAGCAGCAAACACCTGGTTATAAATCCTGCAATGTTACATTTTAAAAGAATTCCTAGAACAGAGAAATTAAAAATGGGGAAAAAAAAGAAAAGGAAAAATAAAAAAAAGAAGAAAAAGACAGTAGCAACATTGGTTACCTGTCCGAGCACCTACAATTCCATAGAGAGAACAGGAGTGGTCGTGTCTCTCACACCAGCCATATAGCCCATAAACCTTCTCAAAAAGAGTGAGCCATGAGAAAGATACTGTACATACAGTTTACTTTCACAAAGTCTCTCTAGGCCCTCAAAACCCTATACATATTTTACTGACTGAAGCCCTTTACAAGGGGAGGGGAGGAGGATCGAAAAGAGTCACTGATGCCATGCATTTGATTTAAACGTCCTGTGCAACATTTGAAGTACCCTGTTTTTGCACCTGACATATACAGAAGTTCCAGAGGCATTTCTTGAGCAGATAATGCACTTAAAAGATATCACTGAGGCAGGGCAGGAGAAAGGCCATTGGAGGCTTGATCATTAACTCAGAACAAAAAGATGACCAGTTCATGCGTGTATGTAGTGCTGATCTTCCATCACGTTACAGATGAGGCATTGTAGCAATCCAGAGAAAGGTTTTATAAAAACACATTGGTGCAGTAAATACAAGGCTTAACAATATACAAAGCTATATAGATAACCTGACTTGACATAGTGATAGAAATAGTAAACACATGACCAGCTGAAGAAAAGTCTCCACATGCAAACAGAAAAAGAAAAAAAAACAGGTCAAACAAAAAACAGTTGCAAACAGCATAAGGATTTCCATCAGATTCAGTTGAAAAAACTTGTTTTTGCAAACCAAAATTTGTACTTGGTCTTCAAGTTATAAATTGATGTGCATTGACACTTTTAAAACTCAGTGTAGGCTGATTACCTGCCATTCCCAATATCAGCTTTCAAACCAGAATGTAATAGGTTGCAATAGTGCTTTTAAAATATTGGAGTATGACAAGTGTTCCTCAGAATATGGAAGCGAGGGGAGTACAGCCCATAGTGTTCATCTGGCTGTGTGGCTTAAATGTGACAGAGACAATCCCTGGCTGGGATGGGCTTGATTTTTTTTTAGTTGTGTATTACAGATAAAAATATGAAACCCATTTTTTCTTTCCCCGCTTATACATCTTGCTGACCCAAAGCAATGGGTAAGCAGGGGAGATGTACACCATAGAGGTTTGCCCATTTTTATCACTGGATCATCAGCAAAGCATTTGTAAGCAGTATCAACTGCTGTCTAAATGAGTATGTGTGAGGTTATTAACTCCGACTTTTCCCTTCTGAGCAATGTATGCACAATTTTTTCCAATCTTGCAGTATTAACACTAATCAGATATGAGCACCTCATCACAAGGGAGCTAGCTACCTGCTTGTGTTTTAGAATAAATCACATGTTTTACTAAGCAAACTTGTATAGCTTTAAAATGTGATTAGGAAATTCTTAAAGGTGAGAAGCAGGAAGAGATTCCCTACTGTTGTGGCATTTTCCTTCATGCCTACCCAGTGTGGGGACTCAAGCCCACCCAGGAAGTTTGGTTACGAGCATCTTCCTGCAAAAGCTCTACTTACTAACTAACTGTAGCAATAGTGCAGAGGCCTTTGAAGATTTCTGCCAGCTGACAGGAAGTCAGCTCTGCTCCTTTGCCCCACAGGTGTTCAGGATGCACTAATATAGGGTAGAAACTAAAGACTCAAATCAGGATGTCGAAGAGAACACAGGAAACTCCAAAAAAACAGCTCTTTGATAATTAGATGATGGGAGAAGGGACTCTGAGAAGACAGAGCTTACCAGATAGTTGTTTGGATTGGATGTAACCCATGTTGGGATATTTGTTCGGGTCATAAAGTGAAATCTTTTGTTTTCTTTTGTGATAACCTGTGCACCTGAAGGCTTGGGAATAAAGGCAGGGAAGACCCTGATTGCTGAAAACTTGTTGCTGAAACTTTTGTTGCTGAACCAGCTGGTCCAGTCCACCTGTTCACACCAACAGTCAACCTTTCACTTGATTTTAATAATAATATTTAATTCTACAAAAAAAGGTCATTTTTTTACATTCCATCTTAAAATAAAAAAGGAAAACCATACTGTACAAATAAGCATGATCAAACCTCCATGAAAGCAGGTTAATACTGTTCTGTTTATTGCCTCTTGAAGTCTCTCTGTGTAGCGTCCATGTAGTGTTTGTTTAAGGTCCCAGTGAAGGTGAAACAGCACAGCGGCAGAGAAGTGAGGAGGGGCCAGAGAGGTGGGAAGTGCAGAGCCTCAGAGGGTACCTGGGACATGCTCCTCCTTTAAAGTATCCAGATAACAGCAGCATTGCACGCGCATGACTCCCCCCTCAAACAAACCCTATTTTCACAAGATTGCCTTTGAGTTGTAAACGTCTTATGTTTTGTTCTTTAAAAAAACAAAACCAAAAAAGGCTTGTATTTATTTATATAATCTATAGTTTCAGTGCTTTATGAACCCAGAGGGAAGGAAGAGTAAGAAAGGGATGAGGAAGATGAGGACTTAAAAATGGACTCAGCATTGCTGTTTTGGTTCCTGCTTTTTCAAAACAGCTCAGACTGAATAAGAAATTGCGCAGCCAGGAGGAGTGAGGAAAATCAGGCAGCCTGGAAAGAAAATTAGGAGCTGAACAGCCCAAAAACCAAAGAGATAGAGCAAAGTGCACAGGCACACACATACGTGCACACACGCACGTGCACACGTGCAGACACCCACGCACACAGAAGGGTCTAGGAACCATTTAATCACTGCTTGTGTCCTTTGGTTATATTTTAATTCTGGCTGAACCTTATTATTATTATTATGTTTTAATTTGCTGCACAGTTTCCCAAACCCTAAGAACTGCATATTTCCCCCTGGATACAACTCTTTGGAATTCCATTAACATTGAAAATGAGATAGTTTCAACTTGGGAAGTGCAAGCCTAGTAATACTGGTATTGAGTGACCTTCAGTTTTATCCTAAAGAGTTTCTCGGTATTTTGGAGTTTTCAACTACCTTTTCCCTCCTCCATACTGTACCAGATTTCCCCCCTAAAATGACCAAAAAAAAGAATGATGTTCAGGCTTCAATTCTGTGTTCTGTTAACAAACAGTTTGCAGTGTTTTCACTTTGGCCACTGTTAAAGATGCAGGCATAGAGAAGGGAGTGTTGGATTAGCATGTATTAAAAAAAAAAAAAGGAACATTAACATAGCATCTCTCTCAAAAAGACTAAAACACTAACAAACACAAGTCAATGCACGTTTGTTTTAAACTAATGTAATTCTTTTTTTCACATTGGATTAAACATTATTTTGTACACCAAACATTACAGTGCTGTTTATCTCCTCCAATCATGCAAAAATAGTTAAAACATGCCACTTCTGCCATGAATAAAACGTGACCAATTCTCCTATACACCTTCTGCCAAAAAACAGGATTTAAGATGATAAAAAACACAAATATTAAAAATCCCCCTTCAAAAGCGTTATAAACAAATATGGACACAAAGCTGTCAGTTAATACTGAAATAGCAGAAGTCGCAGGTTTGCACTGAAAGCTCAAGTTTAACAAATACTTTGTCTTGCTTCATTGTTTCAGAACCAGATCCTACAAAGTCAAAATGGGTCTTTTTGTTTTTTTAAACAACAGCAGGAGCTCAGCACCTGTGAAGTATCAGGTCTTAAATCACCTCAACTTTCACAAGGTAAGAGGCACTCCACAACTGACAGAATCAAGATCTTAGAGACAACTGCACAATTTCACAGAAGTTTCTGGAGAGTTGTGAAACAGCTTTCCAAAACCAGAAGTGTGATTGTGCTACAGTGTTGCCCCTTGAATGCAGGTAGCAACAAGACTTGGGACCACAGCTGCATCCAATAAAATCCCTTTGTGGGCTGTGAACTACGCATCCCCAATTACAGGAATGAAACTGATGCCATGTTTTAAAGAATTAAAAAGGAAAAATAGCAACCACAGAATATGCACCTATGAAACCTTTTAAAAAAATCTCATTCCCATGACTGGTTCCCTCCCCATTCCTTTCATCTCCCTGAGCTTCTCCGATAAACAGCATTGCAAGTCGGTTTTAAAAAATTTACAAGAGATACGTTGGTCATGTATTTACACGTGGCATCACTCTACAAGGAGTTTGATCTCATTGGCTATTAGCTGGTTCATGTTGAACAGAGCCCCCGGGAGCTTGGTGAGCAACTCTCTCTCCGTGGTCTCAGGGTCGCTGTCGACAGAGCTGGAGCTAGCACTCATATTGTCGACAGCGGCGCTAGCTGGAGGGCCCAGCTCTGGCTCGCTAGTCTCGCTGGCCGTGGACACCACAGAGAGTAAGGACATACGCCGCGTCAAGCGACCGGGGGCAAGGAGAGAAGCGGCATAGTCCGCTATGATACCAGCTACATCTAGATTACAAGCCTTGTCAAAGGCAATGAAACCTACATTTGCATTGGCCTCGCAGACGTAGAATGAGCCGTCATCTTTCATCAGTAGGTCGATGCCACATACGTCCATCCCCAGGATGTTTGACACCTGGACTGCCAACTGCTTGCCTTGTTCACTCAGTGAGCACATCATCCCTACACCGCCTGGCAAAAGGTAAAAGAAGAGTCAATTCTCTAGCTGTGATCTGGTTAGATATCACCTGCTCAGCAGGATAGACATGGCTCTCATCTTGGAGAACATACAGAGGAAACCAGAATGTTGCAGGAAGGGTGTGGGTGACCCAGAAATGGACTACTTACTTCCCTTTCAGTAAGTAATGAACATGATATTGACTGGTATCATGAAGTGTTGAAAACATTGCCTTTCAAACAAGTCAAATTAATTTGTGACCATTTTTGGTCAGCACAGAGAACACACTGCACATCTTATTCTTTAAATAAGAGGGCTTGCACTTTTCTTAGCTAAAACAGGTACGTTTCTTTTTTGCTTATCATATATGGGGATCTGAAACAGTCCCACTCTGCTCAGTAAGTATGCCTGCTTGCTGCTTCTTTTAAAAACTTGGATCTTCCAGCAAAATCAGACTTAATATTCACATTAAGGCTAAGACTCCCCTTGCAGTTTCAACTGTATATAACCTTCATCCCTTCCTGACCTAAAATATTAAACAGCATTGCAGTTGAATGCTAAAACAGATTCCCTGGAGTGGTTGCAGGTCAGCAGCAAATGTGTAAGTGTACAAAAGCATGTGGCCTCAGTCTCTTTGCATATCCACTGACAACATCATTGTCAATAGTGCTGAGCCTCTGAAGCCCCCACTAGTTTTTAGTGACAACTGTGGGGGCTCTATCCCTTAAACAAAAAAAACAAAAAAAAAAACAAACAAACTATGAAGCTTTCTTCCTTGTTTCATCTTTCAAAACTGGGTCAAGTTCCCTAACACCTGGTACACTGAAAATTCCCAGGTTATTCAGAAACATACTTCTACTCTCCCAAAAACTTTTGTATAACTGTAGTTGTACTGTACACAAACAGGGAAAGGATAAAATGGGGCTCAGCCAGGTCTAACTCTCCCCCAAGTATGCCCCAGATCCAGAATTGCACAGGAGACACCCGCTTTGGGGGAAGTAGGAGCCAGGTGTTGTCCTTTTTCCTGTGTCACGTGTTTTTCAGGGGGGGAGGGAGGGGGGCAGGGAATACATGAAAATCAGCCAGAAACTGAAGCCAACACTGCAACTGCAACAACTGCAACAGTTCAAGAAGGACTGACAGTGAAGACTCCTGACTGCTTTCTTCTGTTTTCAGTCTTCACATTCTCTACCCTGTGCTAACTGGATGTTTCCTCCAACTCCTCCCATACCCTCCTTTCCTTTGTCTTCCCACCTAATTTATCTCCTTCTAACAGAAAATAATAAAACCGAAACAAGGATATTGTGGCACTAATGTAGTATCAGCTGTTATTCATAGATTGTAGGGGGCTGGAAGGGACATTATCACATAATTCACTCTGCTTGCTTCTTCTACCTACTTCCCCATCTCATCTGTCTTTCGCTTCAACTTTTCAGAAGTTCTGTGAAGCAGGTATCAGCATTTGTTCTGGGTTTAGCCAGTACAGTGGCTCCTCATTCTCATTCACCCCATATACACTACTGTAATAAACTTGATTAAAAAAAACCCGCAAATATTATTTAAATTGGGGTTGCCACTTATCTCCCATTGGGCTTCACAAACGCCGATCAAGGCCACAAACAATGGTATTCCTACCAAGTGAGCAGTTACTCTGCATCCTTCCATCTGTTGAGCAGCGGAGCATGGTGCCCACCACGCGACCTCCTACTACAATGACACGAACATCCTTGCCATGGGACTCCTCGACATATTTCTGGAACAGGTAGGGGGCATCATGACGGATCAAATGGCTCAGGTCTGCTAAATGGTGCTTATCTCGTGCCAGGAATACAGCTTTTCCTGTGTCAAAACAGAACATTGAAGGATGGAGATGAGCATTTAAAGCAGTGTAAGACCCATCAGAGCCATCTATACTGTTAATTCAATGCATGTAAAATCTCCAAACTGCCCAGCCTCAAGGCCCTGATATACTTTACATCCATTTACACATTCCCTGTAGAGACCAATGCAGGGGAGAGCAGGCAGGTGGAAAGGGGTCCCCAGAGCAGTGGGGGGACATGACCTTCCCATGGGGGTTAAGGGGACAAAGGGGCATGGCTTGGCCCCAACCTGGACCCATGGGGTTTGTGGGGGAAGGGTGTAGGGAGATGGGAGTTTGAGCCAGTCCAGCGGTGGGGGGAAGGGAGCATAGCCTGACCCCGCTGAGTGGTGGGGTGGGGTGGGGTGGGGCCCAGCCCCAATCCAGACATGTTGGGGGAAATGGGGACATAGCCCAGCCCCAGCCCAGCCCTGTGGAGGAAAAGGGAGTATAGTCCAGCCTCATGGGGAAGGGGCATGGCCTGGCTCCATGAGGGAGAGGGGGCAGGCCTGGCTCCAACCAGATGTGTGGGCCTTGGGGATTTTGCAGGGGAGGGGGAGAGTGGCCATATTAATGGCCACCACTCCCCCCAGCCAAAATTTCCCAACCCATAGCATGCCCTGTGGGCCAGATGAGATGGCTCTGCAGGCCACATTTGGCTCATGGGTTGGAGGTTGAGCGCCCCTGGTCTAGCTTCATCCTCTCTTAACCACACTTCAAATAGTTGAAGGCTGTTATTAAATCCCCACTCAGCCTTCTCTTTTCCAAACTAAGGGCCTTGTTGCACCTTGAACTCTGAGCTTCACAAATGTTGATGGGTGTTAGTGCTAGCTCGAGTTGGGAGCAGTCACACATTCAGGCCAGCAGGGGCATTTATACGCATACCTTTTTTTCCCTGCGACTAATCAAGTCTGCTCCACACATGAGCTGAAGTAAACTGTGCTGCGCTGCATGCAGATGTACAAGTGGTTAACTGTGTGTCAGCGTGCAGAAAATGGCGGCGGTGCGCTTTTGAACTAAAGCATCTCCAAGGTGTTTTAGTCCAAAAGCGCGCTGCTGCCATTTTCTCAGCACTCTTGTGCATTTCACCACTTATAAAACTGCAAGCGTTGCAGCACCAGGAGCTTCCACTGTGGTGCTTGCATGTGTAAAAATGCTCCAGGGGCCTGGAGGACTGAAAGATAAGAAACCCTCCCACATCCCCAACCCAGGCTTCCCGCCTGCCCCACCCCCCTGGGGCTCCTCCCTGCACCTCCCAGGTCCCCACCACGCTCCCAGGGCATTACTTACTTGTGGCTACCTGTGCAGTCTGTCCCAGAGGAGCAGGCAGGGAAGGGTTAATGTGCCTGTCCAGTGGCTGCTACTGCTCTTCTGGCCCAGATTGCAGATGGGAGTTTAACTCTGCAGGCAGTTTAACCCTTCCTTACCTGCTCCTCAAGGACACACAGAGTGGGCATCCACAAGGAAGTGGTTGGGAAGGTAAAGGCAGCAAGTGGGGAGGAGCAGTGGGCCATTCCAGGCCAGTATGGAAGGCACCTCACTATACAGTGAAGTGCGGCCTATAGTAGGCGACAGCTTAGTAAAACACAGGCTGCGTAGCACAGATCAGCGATAATCTTGCCTTGGAGTGGTGTCACTGAACCACATAACTTACAACTGTTGAAGGTGTTAATGTGCAGACAATCCAGGGGTTTAAAGAGCTCTAGGAGCTGCCCAAAATTTCCCTGTGACAAGGCCCTAAGTAAGACCATTTCCCTCAGCCTCTCCTCAGAAGTCATGTGCCCTAGTCCCAGAACCATTTTCACTGCCCTCCACTGGATTCTCTCCAATTTGTCCACATCCTTTCTGTAGTGGGGTGCCCAAAACTGGACACAATACTCCAGATGTGGCCTCACCAGTGCTGAACAGCGGAAAAGAATCACTTCCCAAAATCTTCTGGCACTATTCCTACTAATGCAGTCCAGTCTGCTGTTAGCTTTCTTGGGGCACACTGTTGGCTCCTATTCAGTTTACTGTTCACTGCAGTCCCCAGGTCCTTTTCTGCAAAGTTGCTTCTTAGCCAGTTGGTCCCCAGCCTGTACCGGTGCCTGGGTTTGTTCCGTCATAAGTGCAGGACTTTGCATTTGTCCTTATTGAACCTAATAAGATTTTTTGGCCCCATCCTCCGATTTGTCATGGTCTCTCTGAAGCCTAGCCTTATCCTCCAGCATATCTACTACTCCACCCAGCTTGATGTCATCTGGAAATTCTACTGTTCCAGGCCCTGGGGAGTTTCCATAGCTATGGTAATGCATCTCCAGCCAAATCTTTTTATTCCAGTCCCAAACACAACTCCACCAATGCACCATAGTACTAACATGCAGCATCTCTACTAATTCTAGTCCTAGGGTCCTTGTGGCAACCACTATTTCTCTTAAAATTTGTTTTCCAGTGTTGAAGTCTATTAAACACTCAGGAGCAAGAGGCTGGAATTATTTAGGCACAAACTGAAAGCAAGTTCTAGGGCCCCCCAAAACCTCCCCAGTTGTATACATGGCACCTGGGACAGTCAGTGACCACTGACCACCTTTTCCCCTCACCCATGTCCCCATACCCACCTCGGTGACCCCGCGTGTTTTTCACCACCATGGGGAACTCCAGAACCTCTGCCTCATCAATCATTTTGGCAAAATTCTCATGACCACCTGACAAGAAGAGAGCCAAAAAAAGTTACATGTAGTCAATTTGATGCTGCCAATTTGTGGATACATCTGCTTCATCCACACTCCACAGCCACACTTACAGGTTAGAAGCAGCAATACACACCAATGGTAAGAGAAACCAAGGTATAAGAAGGATTAGTGTTTCCCAGACCCTTATCCATGACAAGACTTTAATTCTTCCTTCACAAGGAAAATGTGTCATTTGGAGGTGCACTGATACATTAGTCCATATTGTATCAGCACCAGTAAAAGGAAAATTTACAATATCAGCAATCAGCCTTTTTTGGCTGATGTAGCCAATAATTTCAGCAATAAATGCCGTATGCACGTTGACATCCTCAGCATGCGTGTGGCCAGCCCAGTAGCTTGAAGACCAGCATTCAGCTGGTAAGTCTGTTGGGGAGAAAGGGGCGGGGAAAGATCAAGCCCCCATGGTGAGGAGTGGGGCTGGGGCAGGCGCTGCCCAGCCAGGCGGGGTGGGGCACAGGATGAAGCCCCAAGCAGCATTCTCACCGCTGTGTGCAACCCGTTGGAGGCATGTGGGGCATGTGCTTCTGGGATCTGTGCACAGGGCGAGGGCAGGCTGCCACTACAAGCTGGGGCCGGGGTTCAGGTCGAGCTTTTCCCAGAGGGGCAGCTGGGCCGAGGCTGCGCACAGAGCAGACTACAGTGGCGCTGGCAGAGGGGACTACAGGGGGGCTATGGCAAATTTTGGGGTGGCTGTAGCCTACCTCATAGCCCCCTTCCTAGTGCTGCTGCCACCTGCTCCAAGCACAGCCCCAGCCCAGCTCCCAAAATCCCAGCACCGCCCCCGGCTCCAGCCCCAGCCCCAGCCCCAGCCAGCAGTGGCAGCCCACCCTTGCCCCATGCACAAATCCCAGGAGTACACACCCCCTATTCCCCCACACAGTGGTGGGAACACCCCCCGCCTCCCTCCCCAGATGAGCTGCTCACGGCTCTGTCCAGCACCTCACCCCGCTGGCACAGCACCTACCCCTGCCCCACTGCCTCCCTCACTGCAGGGGCCTTGATCTGCTCCCCCACATGCCCCTTCCCTCCCCCTGCCCCCTCTCCACCTCAAAAGACTTACCAGCCAGATGCTGCTCTCCAAGCTGCCAGGCTACATATCAGCAATTGGATCAGTATCAGCCGATATGGCTCATTAATAACTGACCATCAGTACCGGCCCAAAACATCTTTATCAGTGCACCCCTAGTATTATTATCCTCTCTCACTTTCCCTCCGTAATATGCCACAGTCCGCCTTGGAACTCTCAATTGCTACCGATGAGACTCAATTCCACTCCCAAAATTGGAACGCTCCAACTTTATAAACTCTTTCATATTTTCTATTCCCTCCTGTTGACCAGTTTCCACCTGCCCCTAACTCCTCCCATCCCATCTGCTTGGAAGTAAAGCAACAGAGAGTTGCACTAGTCACAGTTCCATCCAAACTACTAGCAGGAAGGCAAGAAAAGATTCTGGACCCAGCAGAGTGCACATTCCACCTGCCCTTCCAGGTTGAAAGCAGCAACATGGACCTGGATTCTGCCTGGCATTATAAAGGTTTCCTCAGCCCAGCTCACCCATTGTTTAGAAGGCTGACCACAACGTGAGGAACAAAAATAATAGAGGGGCTCTCCTGTCTTCTCATCTGGCCCTGAGGGTGCATGCAGTACAGCAGAAAATGAGAGCCAGAAAGTAAGCAGCACCCTACCCTGCCTAGGATTTCACTCCTTGCAATAGAATATATGCGGCTTCGCATATCCTGCTTTTCTTGGCAAAGTCACCAGCTACCAGTCACCTAACAAGAGAGGGCCTAGAGTCCAATACCCGAGACGGACACTAATAGAAAGTGTAGGGAGAGTTGTGTAGGGTGGGAGATAGTTGTTGGTTATCCCATCATTCTTCGGATCTCTCTTTACCAAAGAAACAAACCCCTTCACTTCTCCAAAGGCTGAAGCAGCTGGTTCTCTAATGTGAAAAAGTCGTTTTTCAAGTGAATGGGTTTTGTTTCCATATTAGGTGACAAAACATGGGTAAGTCTCGACTCACGGGATGTTTTTCCTGCCATGCAGGCTTTGAATAACCGATCCTTTAACAAAGCCATCTTCACACAGAAGCAAAAACTCTACCATTTCTGTGGCAGAAAAGGAAAGCTGGAGAGATATCTTTCATTCTTGAATACACTATAGTTAAGGACACAGGAATTGCCATGCCAGATCAGATTAGTGGTCCATCTGATACAGTAACCTGATTTTCACAACAACCAGTCCCAGATACTTCAGAGGAAAGTGCACGAAATTCAGTTACTGAATAATTCTCCCAGAAGGAAAAAGCTCCTTTCCTATCCCCAGGCAACTGATGGTGATTAAGCACAAGAGTTTTAAACATTTTTAGTCTATGGAACATAGCTGTAGGTGCTCTCATTCATATCAATGTCTATTTTTTTTTTCAAAATACTATTAGATTCTTGACTTCAGCAATATGTTATGGTGTCTAATTCTACAAATTAAACATGGGTGTGATAGGGCAACTGCAGCCTCCCTGTGGGAGCAAAGCATGGGCTACAGAGGGATGCTTAAAGCGGGCAGTAGACAACACCCCCCAGGGAGAGGTAAGGGAGTGGACAGGAATGGGAGGGAATTTGGGAAGAGAAATGTTATCATTTATGGGTGTAGTGAATGGGGAATAAAAAGCAAGTCTGGGTTGGGGGAAGAAGGCAGGAAGAGAAAAAACACTCCACCAGGGGAGAAACGGGTGAGCTGGCAGGTGGGGTGGAGTCAGTGAATTATTTTGCATTTGAGAGTATTTGTGGGGAGAGAACTTGTTATACTACCGTATTTAAATATTTCACTCTGCTTTTATAAATTGGTATAAACCACACTGAGTCTTTTTTAGTAAGGACAAAATATAAACCTAATTCAACTAACCAACCAAACAATCTATGTACTGTGCAAAAGCAAGGCACAATTCTCTTTTAATCCAAGGAGCTCCAAGACCTTTACTTATCTCACTTTATTAGACCCCCAACTCAGACAAGAGGTGCGTGTCTGGGGGTGTACTGATTCACAATTTAAGTCAAAGGTCAGCAACCATTTAGGAGCTGCTGCTCCTCTAGCTGACACCACTTTCCCAAAACAGATGCAGACATCTTCTGCTGCAGAATTATGATCAACTTCCTTAGTTTTGCAGGCCAGATGACATCACTTGGTCTTGATCTGACCAGTGGGTCTTAGATCATCAACCACTGATTTAAGGGACTTGTCCATTGTTATAGCAAATTAGTGGCAAAGCTAGAAACAGACTCCAGGGCTGCGTCTGCACAAGTGCAGATGCTCGTTTCCCCAGGGACAAGAAGCAGCAGCACACCTTGTACTGCTGCTACTTGTCCCCAGGGAATCTGCGTGCCATGCACCCTCTGATGCATGACAGGTTACCCCAGGTGGGGTAAGAGAGGCTGGGGCCAGCAACTGTGCTGGCTCCAGTAGCCTTACCTGGGGTCCTGGGGAGCAGTGGCTACATTACTTCTACAGCTGGAAGCATGGCTCTGGCAGGCCAGGCTCTGGTTTTGGATGGTGCACGACACCCTGCTTTTTTTCTGCGTGGTTTTTATTGATCCCGGGAGTCAAAAACAACCCCTGCACTGAAAGGCAGCAGCGTAGGGAATGCCTGAATGTGTGGGCGTGGCGCTGCAGATGTGTTTGTGGCGCCACATACCACATGGCCATACTTGTCTGGATGTGGCCCAGAAGTCCTCATTCCCAATTTCCTGCTCTAGTCACTACACATTTCTCTCAGGCAGCTGTGCCATGCAATCCAGCCCTAAAGACTTCCAAAATTTACCTGACATCCCACTTGGTCTAACTACTATTTCTGGATACCATGTTGTCTATCTGACTTCGTGGGCTTACCATACGAGAAAGTGTCTGGGAGAGGCACACCATGACCAGCCAGCTCCTGGAAGGTCCAGAATTTGTTGACACAGTTGAGGATGGCTTGGGGCCGATTCATCAACCGACAACCCATCTTCTCCAGGTGGCGGAGAACTGTGATGTCACTGTCGCTCTGCACCCAGGGTGTTGGCACACGTACCACCACTACCTGTGGGTAAGCAGTAACAAGCTCCCCATTTACCCGGAGACCTGCAAAACAGAAGGAGAAAAAAGCCATTCTTATGAACTCCAAGGACTGAAAACAAAGAGGGAGAGAAGCCCAGCAATCATTAATAAGTGAGATGATACTGCTGATCCATCTTGTCTACTATGATAAAGAACAATACTTTGTTTAAATAGAACCCTACCCCCAAAAATGCACCTGGTGAATTGCACCATTTTGCAAGTAAGATCAAAAAAAAATCCTGCTCTTGCCTCTTAATATATTTAAAGCTAGAATTAGATAGAAAATATCTGTAGTAAACAATCCCAAACTATTTCCCAGGATAATGGATAAATATAAATTGGTACTTCACAATCTCTAAGAATTGAATAGCATGCATATCTGAAGGGATGGGTGGAAATTCAGGAGTACAAACAAGTTGCAGGAAAGAAAGAGTGACATGGCTGCTTTTGGAAAGTGTCAAATCTCATGAGGAAGGCTGGGCAGAGGAGGGCTGCAGGGAGTTAAGAGATATTTTTAGTGTTCACTTTCTCCACTTTGTCAGACTGAAGCAAAAACTTGTAGAAGCATAAACATCACACCATGATACAATTTAGAGGATCTCAACTACCATCAGCAGACTAGGAGTTAAAGGAAGGAAAGGAAGATGTGCAAAACAGTGACAGCAAATTTAAATTTCTGTGCCTGGTGGAAGCCAACTGGAACAATTTGGGTCTTGCCAAGGTGCATTAACTAACATTTTCCATATCAATAAGCTTATTTGCTTTCTGAATAAGAGTTTTGATCTACTCAATTCTCTGGTGTGCAACAGGTATAGTCAGCAGCTGTATGTGTTTTAATTTTGCATTCAATGAGCACTACAATTAATGTTTTTAGCTGGAGACAGGTTCTCTCTGCTGCCCTTCCTGTTTCCTCCCACCCAAGATACATTTCAGAGCTTGCCTTTTATAGAAAGTCACATGTACCCTACAACACAGAGAAATCTGCCCTCTCTACCTCCATAGATTTATGGAAAGGGCAGAAAGAGCTATTTCCAACGCACATCCTTTTTCCCAATCCACTCTCCCACAACTGGAGAGAAAATGAACACAAGGGGAAGGCTGTTCTGGCAGCTCATCTCATTAGCACCAAGCACTGCCGCATTGCAGCTGACATGACTGGCGTGTTTAAGCAAGCAGGCTTCAGACATGCACGCAAATTATTTTACAGCACTTTCTCAAGCAAGATTAAAAAACAGCGACTGCCAAAATACCCAAGCAGGATGTGAATACCTGGGAGAAGGCAAACATCCCCTTCAACCTGAAGAAGAACCTCAATTTGGCAAGTAAGAAGCACTCATTTTGTCAGAGTGATTCAACATTCAGATTCCTGGTTGGTCACACTTTTCCACACATAACCTCCACCCACTTTTCACCCTTCATGGTGCACAGTTGACAGCCCAGAGGTTGCAAGTTTGAGACTGCAGCAGCAGTGCTCACGATGCAGCGTTAGATTCAACAAATCGGCAAATTCCATTAAATACCTTGTCACAAGGACATAAAAAAGAAAAGGAAAGGACACTTACATTGTATACTGAGACACACAGAAGTTGTGCAAGTCTGTTAACCGGAGCCTCACAATAGCCATTACATGTTTACACTGGGCACTAAAATAATGCATATTTCCAATTAAAGAACTCTCTGAATCCATTTAGTCATTTCTCTTTAAAATGAAATCATACTGGACTCAGCAGTTTTTGGCTGTGAGAGTTTACAAAAAAGGAAACAGCAGTTTGAAGGAGACTGTATACCACCTCCAGCATTCCCCTAAATATTTGGACCAGATTTTATTACACTGGTATAAATTCAAGTCAGGCCACTGGCTCCCATCGGGTGACACTGGAATTACAGTGATGCGACCACAAGGATAATCTGGCCTTTGTTTTGGATTCAAGCATCTTCTCTGGTCTGGACACACTTCTCCCCAGAACAAAAAGCATTTTCTCTTCCCTCAGAGGAGACAGTTTAAAAACAAAGAGGAGAGAGGCACTCGAAATGTATAATTTGAGTCACCGCTACTGACGTGCGCCATAAAAATTAGCTGCAGTCTCCCAGCAACAGAGTGCTGCACAGAGAGGCAGCTCCATTAAGGTAAACAGGAGAGTCAGATTCTGCCATTTTGAAAAATAAGATTTAGCACTGGTCCCAAGATGCAGCCATTAGTAGTCAAGTTAGTGTCCAACATTGCCAAATACCTTGGTAAAGTGATAGTTATATATCCAATCATTAGGCTGCGCTGCATGCACTAATATTCAACTTGTTAACCTATACATCAAATTATCTTTCCAAATAAATGATATGTGTATACAAAAAAATAAACTGAGATGTACATCAGAGCTGTAATAGGTGAAAGAATTGCTCAAGAGTTTAAGGGAATGCATACCCAGCATCTTTTCTTTAGGGCAGTGGTTTTCAAACTTTTTTTTCATCTGTGGACCCTAATAAATTCTGAATGGAGGTGTGGACCCCTTTGGAAATTTCGAATGGAGGTGCAGACTCCTTTGAATTGTAAGTGTAGGTATTCACATGACTCTGATCAATCAAAAGCATCTTTCATGGACCTCTGTCGCAGAGCTCTTAGGTGCCCTGCTCCTATTAAGGGTGAAAACTGCTAGGGGAAGAGTCCTAGCAGGGAGTAATAAGCACAGCTGTTGGTTGCCAGGGCAACCAGAGGTCAGCTGACCAGAAGGGGCAGGGCCTGGCTCCCATATAAAGCCCAGGGGCTGAGGCCATGCTGGCAGTTCCCTGCCAGCAGCCAGGGAGGAAGGTGCTCTCCCTGAGCAAAGCTGAGAGGAGAGACCTGACCACAGGTACAGCCTGAGCCGGGTAAAGGATGGAGCATCCATGGAGGTTTTGAGGAATTATGTTTTAGCCGGGTGGCTTTAATTTGTGTTACAGCCCAGGGGCTTGTGTTTTTGTTGCTGCTTAAATACTGGTGGTTTGGGCGAGGCTATTAGGGGTTGGAGGAGGCCTCATAGGGGGCACACAGCTGTGTGGGGACCCCAGTGCCTGCGAGGGCACAGCATTCGGGGTGCACTGACCCCAGCCCCAGAAAGGGTGGCACTCTGGGAAGCCCCAGGAGAGGGGACAGAGCAAGACAGGGTCATGCAGGGCCTAGAGAGGGAAAAAGGGGGCCAGATTATAACAAGGCCCAGACCAAACGGAGTAAATTCCATCGGCGAGGTGTGGGCTGCTGTGTAGGGGAGGAAATGGAGCCGCAGATAGCGCCCCCTGGCATCGGGACAGTAAAAAGGGCAGGCTCATGCTAATTAACATCAATTAACCAATTAACAGCAAGGCATGGCAGGAGAGAAGACAGGTGGTTGCCCCAGGAACAGGTGTGCGGGCCACATTTAGATCGGACCAGAGCGGATATCTGTTACAACCCCTTAAACATCCACAGGGGTATTAGTATCATTGTGATCCCAGGACAGTAACACTGAAGTAAGTGTCTTGCAAAGCTACTCAGTGGCCTGGCAGTTGAGCTTTTAGCAGGCAGATGTCCAACATCAGACAAAAACACCTAAATAACATCTGGCCACCTTGCTGGCAGCCTCAAAGGAGACCCGGAACAGAACAGGTAAACAAGAGCGTCTAAATTGGTTAAGTTAGGGGAAGAAGGAAGCTCTTGGATACTTTCTGTATATCGCTGATACTCGTTTGCAGCCTTTTACCAATAACATTCACATTAAATAGTGGACAAAAAGCTTCCTGCATATGTAATTATAAAACACTTTAGGATTTTGGGACATGAGGCAGCGTAAAACTAAAGGCTCGAATAACAATGGAAACAACAAAATACTTTCATTTAGATGGACCTTTCCACCCAAAAATGCCAACATACTTTTGCTCTCCTTGGCAAGACAGAACTCTCCAGAATAGAAGATGGTAAGTCTTTAACTCTACGCAATAATTTAGGACAGGAATCCTAAATTTAGCACTTAATCTAGACTAAAAACTGGGAGGAAGTTTAGAAATACAAACTGTAATTACTTGAGATGGAATTTGATTAGGACATGCTGTACTTTGGCGGGGGGAGCGGGTGAGCAACCCAGCCTCAGCTTTCACTCTCATACAAAAGTTAGTCCATCAAACAGCACCATAAAACCGATGAAGACCGACACCAGCACTATGCTATCAAATAGCCAACAGGGCAGAACCCAATTTAGATGCAGATAAATTCACAGCAATTTTAGGAAGATGCAAACTCTTCCTAGAAAAGAAAATATCTTTTCCCCCGCTTCATGACAAGAATTCATCCTATAACCACCTTTTCTACTTTTAAGACATGACATGTTGAAGGAAGGAGGAGGATCCCTTCTAGGCAAGATGCTTCAGTGTTTAAATATTTAAACTTCAGGCTCCCCTCCCTTTCTTCTTAACCTAACAATTCATCTTAGAGTTTCAGCTGCACAGTTTGAATTCTCTCTTGCTTGTGAAGTTGCAAGGCCACGAATGCAGATGGATTTGGCCAATGAAGGAAATGACATTGGCTAAAATGGATTAAGCTATTTCAAACTGTGTCCAGGTCTAATCTTAATTTATGCAAAGACATTTTGACAGCTCCTAATATTCAACTCTTCTTCCTTCAAATCCTTTAGAAACTGAGCAAGAATCACTTAACCAGCAGAACAGCTGCTACACAGCAACACAGCCCTCTTCCTGTCTTAAACTACTGTGAACTGTTCAACTGAAAATGACACCTGGAAGAAAAATTTAACGGAAACAAAAAAAAACTATTCAGGAAGTAGTTGTAATACCTCCGTGACTTGCAAATAACATCAAAAGATTTTATATCTACAAGTTTCTCATTCCATCGTAACAAATACCATTTATAACAAAAACTTTTCATTTATCAGTGTCAAATAATTTCATAAAAACAGGTTAAATATTATCTCCCTCACATCACAATTGGGAAAACAAGGCTTGCCAGGATCTCACAGTCTGAGACTCAGGAATCAAACGGATTCCAAATGCAGTACTTCACC